TATCTATCTATCTATCTATCTATCTATCTATCTATCTATCTATCTATTTTTTTAACATTTTTTTTTTCTCTGCAGAAACCCGCAAGGGAAGCTGTGGTGGATGATGGCTCTGGGATGTAGCCAAAAGGGGGAGTGTTGCATGTTCCGCAAAGAAGAAACTCATTTTACGTGTTAAATAAGCAAACAAAGATGAAGTGGAAACTGTCAACATTTATTTTAAAAAATGAACTAACGGTGCCTCTGTGGCTCAGACAGTACAGTGTTCACCTTATGCAGAGGTAACATCACACATCGTATGATTCAGTTGAACTTTCTCCCTATTAAGAAGCAAATGCATAACTATAATCTTTCTTTTCGATTCTTAAATCGGACAAGTCAAACGTTTAAGATAGATAGAGCAAAAAGTAACGGTTCTGATTCTTCGGTGAACATCTACATCCAGATAGACTGAAAGGGACTGAAAGCAGACGTGTAATTTTTGCTTCCCTCATCACATGCTGATCACGGGCTTGAGCCGCTTTACTCTTGCATTTCCATTGTCTTCAAAATAATTTTACTAATAAAGGAAAAAAAAAAAAAAACAGATCTGATGCGTTGTTTTCTCAATTACCAAACACACTAATAACTTTCTTAATTAACCTTTTTTTTTATCCTTCATACCCATAATAGCCTACGCTACTGGGTAAGCGATGGGCTGGGGGTGCTTCTGTCTCTTCTATGTTGTCTTCACGTGTTCACAGTTCAAACTTCTAAAAGTTCCTTTTAATTAGAGAACAGAAACTTTCCTAAATGACAGTATGCACAACTAAATGAAGGGTTTAAATTAATGCACTGTTGCTGGTCGAATCAAAAGCAAGCACAATTACTTATGAACTAACATGAATATCGTGATACCTATTATTTTTTATAAATATACCTAAACCTATACCTAAATACCTAAATATACCTATTTTGTAGGCTAAAGCTACAAAAACAAAAGTCAACAACGGATGACTAGAATTAACAATGTCAGCTTTATTGTGTTTCCAACGAATAAGCGGATTTCGGTGCGTAACACTCGCTCACGTTTGGTATTTGACATTTCCGACAGCAGGGAAGGCAGCATATCGAACCATAGCACTAGCTGTTACGGTTTGTTACTTTACATACAAGAAACACCGTCGGAGTCGTTGAAAGAAAACTCTTTCATTATGTAAGTCTTTTGTGCTTTTATGTAAACATTTCACAGTTAGTTTTAAATATCGATTTTTTTCTGGTTTTGTGGTAAGATGTGCTTAAAAGAAAAACAACGCCCAAAACTTTGCTATTAGCTATCAACAAGTGCTACAACTTTAGCTCGTTTTCCTCACGTAAAGTTGGTAGCTAAGCTAGCTGTTGCTAATTTACATGGGAGAATTTGTGCGTAACACATCTGAAATGATAAAATCGTTTTATTTTGGTTAAAGAGGTTAAATGTGTTTTCAAATAATTTATAAGGTCCGCATTTTTGCAAATGTGAAATGCTAGACAATAAGTGTTAGGTTATAAGTTAGGTTTGCAATCGTTTCCTCCGGATCCTGGTCTTCCACTTGGTTGGCCTTGCTTCTACTTAGCCCCATGTTTGTTTAGTTGCGTACATTGCATCTTCGATAGAAATTTCATTTGGAGACCAGTCAGATTTGAGCAATAGACAAATACCAGTGATAGTATCTTTCAACTGGAAATATTTTTATTGGTGGCAATGACGTTTTATAAACTATAATGGGTGACAAAGTTCTTATTTACTTTTTCGTTTAAATTGCTATGACTTTTATATGTATTATTCATGGTTTAATGATTCCAAGACCCAAACGCTTCTTTGCTTCAAGCTCAACTGATTTTAGGTTGTCGTAACTATTTGCATTTAGATCCACCTTTACCTGCCACTTCCTAGATTTCTGCACGACTTACTAGCAAATGTAGTACCTTAATGCCCCAATGCCCCAAAATAGTAGAGTTATATCAAACGTGCCAAACCTGGATTTCGATGATGTTCCTCTTTGCTAATTTTGCAGTAACGCTTGATGATCCCATGATGGTCCTCCACCATCACACTTAACAAGCCTTGCATGCCTTTTGAATGTCATGTGAAAGAATGTGTGAATTCACTCAAGTTACTTGGCTTATGTAGTCATATTTCCAATAGTACCATTGTTATTTTTGAACAGTTTTAATGCCATGATTTTACAGATTATTATTTCTTCAAGTTCCAATGTGCTTTAAAGAGGAAACGGGCTGCTTGTATAGATTATACATCCAATGTTTCCTGAATGAAAGCGTGAGAACATTCACATGACAATCTGTTCAGTTTGCACTGTTGATTTTGATAAAGGCTAATGCAGTTTGACTCAAGGTTTTCTGCAACACTTATCATTCTGCACACCCATGCCTGTGATGCCGCTGTCCAATGCTATTTTTAGTTCATCAGCATCACTTTCTTCGTGATGAAGTTTTGAAGTGGCCTTGTCACACCTCAAATATATTTATACTATAAAAATGCAATCATTATAGAATAGTATGAGTTTACCCTTTGTAGACAAACTTTTTTTTATTCTGGTACTTCTATTGCCTGACAGCAGGCGATGCCTTTTAACACTTTTAGCACAATTAAGGACCACAATTTGATTTAGCCACACAAGGGTAGAAGGAAACATGTGATCATAAGATTTATCAATGTTATAATGGAATAATCTTCACTGCTCAAGCCCAAACTAGTTTCTTTTTCTTTTTTTTAAAGCTTTTTAATTTTAATTTTGAGCAACAAAAAAACAACAACATTCTCATGGGTATAACAGTATAGGGTTCCACTTCATTCTTCTCCATACATCAAGGTGTACCTGCAGTGTCACACTCTTCCACGCATCATGCATGTATAACTCATTTTTCCCAACCTTCAACACATTTCTGCTATTCCAATCTTGAAATAAAAGTCAGTTTCTCCATGCAATAAATTTCTTTTACAATCCCCGTCCATTGATGACATTTTGGGGGTGCAGTTTGGAGCCATCTTCAGTTTATAGCCTTTCTACCACATGCTAAATAAATCTTTAACCGGTATTTATGTTTGTATTGGACAAGCCAAAACTAGATTAATTGGTGGTTTTACTTTTCACAGCTTTGATAGGGCATGTTTTGAACAGGACAGATTGTATGTAATATTCACATTTCACTGCAAAGTAAGAGTGACTAGTTGATGCATGCAGCAGCTTTTTTCACATTGCAAATGAAGTTTTATTGTGCTGTGCTTCTTGCTTCATAGTGTCCTGAAATCATTTTTCTAAAATTAGAACATCAGCTGTACTATTTTAGCTCAAAAAGTCTCATGCAGGTGCTGCCATTGCAGAGCACTGCTTTCTCAGGTCAGTGGGTGGCACTGTTCAACAAGTTTAGACCGTTTGGAGAGGAACTATACAGGCTTTTAAAGTGATTAATAAGTAAAGACATTCTTGAATTAGGGTTGAATGTAGGGGTTGAAATTGATTAAAAAAACCTAGGTAGTTCTTTCTGATTGGGTTGTCTAAATGAAAACATAATTTTGGATAAGTTGTTGTTACCATATGACGTGCATACATGAGTGGACTGCTTTCTGATCCTTCTAGTCTAATCTGTTTGATCATCTCATCTCTTATTAACCATCACTCTCTTTCAAACACACCAGGGAGATGTTAATCTACAATATCTAACCGGAAATTAATGTATTTTGCAGTGAAAATGCTATTTATTTTTAAAATACTGCAAATAAATTAATTATACATGATTTCAAAGGAAAAGCTGTCTTTATCTCCTGCCGCAGGGGGGGCAAATAGGGATTGGGATATTTTTCGGTGGTGGGTAAAGGAGATTGACTCTCACAGCAAATGAATGTGAATATTAAAAATGCTTTTTACATTTCAGATGAAGAGCTTTACAGTATGTAACAGACTATGATTTTTTTGTATCATTTCATCAGGTCATCCCAGGGTCCAGAAGGTTCTGGCGCAGCGTCAGGCAACAAGCGTCTGCAGCAGACGCAGGCCCAGGTTAATGAGGTATGGTATACTTCTGGACTGCTCTTCGATAATGACTCCAAACAGATTTTAAATGGACTCAGTGATTCCATACCGGAGGGAATACAGATTTTTGTTTGTAATTGTTCAACAAATCTCTCCGTACTCTAAACACAGCTTCATTAATGTCACCATAAAAGCTGTTTTATCAATTTATTCAGACAACCAGATGATTTATTCCTCTGAAAGTTAAAGGAACTTCTAAGTTTGCTTTTACTAAAACATTTCTTCCTCTCATCCTCTCTTCCCTCCCACCTTTATTCGCTCTTGTGATGAAACTTGCATAACCCTTGGCAGCAGTTAGATGATTCAGCAGATGGAATCAGTCACTCCCTAAAGCTTTGCCTCACCATGTCAGTACATTTGCCAAAATAAATTCCGTAAAAGACACGTCTTCACTTTTAAGAAACTATTCAGAACCGTGTCAATAAGGCCATAAGGTAAAAGAGCTGCCAAGTCCCAGCCATAATCCCTGTCACAGTTCTCTATTTCTCCCTCCCCCATGAGGTTTGCCCCTCCTACACAGAACCTTAACCCCAGTGTGTCACTCGGAGTGTCCAATTGGCTGCCAGGAATTTATGTAATCACCGTCTCCATGGTTATGTAAGGTCTGCATGGGCTTGCAAGTGCCTAAACACTCTTCCATTTTGCCTCTCAATTTTAGAGGAGGGGCAGTTAGGGGGTTTGTGGATCAGTGGAACATATGGGCTGCATGTGCTCCATAGTACAATCAATGCACATTCAGATTTGTTTTCTTCTTTGTGAATTGTGAAAGATGTGGTCTCTTGATTGGTTGAGGTGTTGGGTAACATTGCTTGAGGCTATTTTACATTTGAACCTATTATGTCATCATATCAAAAGTAATAAAACGTGTTGCACATTGCTGAACTTATTTTCTGCTTTTTATTAGTCTTGCCCAAATAAATACTAATAAGGGTACAAATAGAACTCTTCTATTTCCTTTACACTCAATCATTAGGGGTATTTTTGTGTGCTTGTTTGTGAAGGTTGTGGACATAATGCGTGTCAACGTGGACAAAGTGCTGGAACGTGATCAGAAATTGTCTGAACTGGATGACAGAGCAGATGCACTGCAGGCTGGAGCGTCACAGTTTGAGACCAGTGCCGCCAAGCTGAAAAGGAAGTACTGGTGGAAGAACTGTAAGGTAATTTATCAAAGCTTGGACTAAAACTTCCAAACCACACCCTGCTGAGTGTTACAACTTTACGTAATCATTACTACACTGGGGTTTCACTAAGAATGCTCAAGTTTCATGCTCATGTAGTATAACTGTTGTATGAGTAAACATGTTTGTTTTAATAATTGATAATAATACTAATTATGATGATAATTACTGTTTTGTTTTCCCTTTCGCCCTTCTCAGATGTGGGCCATCCTGATAGCAGTTATAGTGATCATCATCATCATCATTATTGGTGAGTGTCAAACCTGTACCTTTAGATGTTTGATGTAAAAGTAAGTACTTGTTGCAGTTCATGTTGCTTAAGGTGAAGAACCCCTGAAGTTGTTCCCTTCTACCTCCCACACACGCAAACAAAAAGGCAAAAAGTTTAAAGATGCAGTTATTTATTTCCTTCTATGTCCCCAGGGTGTGAAAGACATGAACTGTTTTCAGGTCCTAAGACTCAGATATAGAGCTGGCCCTGTTTGGAGACACTGCTGAAACTCTTCTGCCTACATCCTGTATTTGGCAACAATTTCTATAAGGCAGAGCTATTGCTAAAAATAATCAGGCTATTTATGTTTGGTTTTTTGTGTTTTAGTGTTGTGTCACACCGAGACAGAGCTGCCTGCTCCCATGTTGTCAGTTAAAGTCCTGATTAAAAACCTAATCTAGAGAATTGAACGACAATCATCCAATTCAACACATCAGTCATCATAGCTGCAATTAATTTCCAAAATCCATCCACAATCGCGATTTGTCAACATGTTACTACAAAGAAGAAATGAGCTGAAACCCCAGCTATAACCACTGTGAAATTTGGCTTTTGCTTCCAGGTGTTGTTTTCACTTTAGTGCTAATTTGAGCCAGATTATTTGAACAGTTTTCACTCTTGACATCTTAACTGTGTGGTTTTACTTCATTCACAGTCTGGAGTTGTTCGACTTAAGGATGATAACAGGAGTGGGACAACGTGCATTCTTCATGTCTCAGAGGAAGAAATCCCATGAATTGTGTCTGCTGACCTCTGTATTAATCACCTCTTTGGGGGTCTTCATTCCTTGTCCGGGGTTGCATTCATGATTGACTGTGTGTGTGTTTTGCACATGTGCTTGGGTTGCAATTCACAGTTTGATCCTGTGTTAATAAAACATGTTAGCCATCAAAAACTCACATTAAATTGCAATGCCAGATACCAAAGAAATACACGCATTGATTAGCTGATATGATAAAACGATTCAATAAGATCTACCATGTGACATAGCACACACACTTTCACTCATTACCAACTGAAGACTAGACGTGAAGAATATTGTAAACTCTCCTCAACTTATATTAACGTTGTTTTTTATTAGAAGCCGCTGATGCTGAGTAACAGGACAAGAATCTGCTTTTGAGGATGTTCTGAGTTAGGTTGTTAGATATATGCCCTTTTCCTGAATTTCTAACACACGTAGTTGATTCTTTTCTCCCTTTTTTATTTAACATTTGCCTTTATTTTTTTGCATTTAAGCTTAGCTCTGCTTTGTGAATGCTACAGTTGATTAATGCTTGTGGGGGATTCAGTGATTCATTTTTACACACGGTTTGATGCTAACTTTGTTCTTGGTAGAGCACGACAGGAACAGTATTGAATTTTGTGGAATTTTTCATAAATATTAAGTTAACTAGGAAGATTAAGTTAAACCATATTGTCACAACTTTTCTCTTTCATCATCTACTTGGGTAGCTCTCCCTGTGCTGTAAAGCACAGGTAGTTAGCTTATGTTTATATAAGTGCCTACATGCCAAAACCAGACAGCCTCACAGCCTGAAAAAGGCCAGATTTTGCCTTAAACTAAAACAAAATGCTAAAAAGAGGGGAATTACCTATTTAATTCTCTGTAGTACATGTTTAAAAAAAAAAAAGATACATTTTCTTTTAAAAGTGTTTAAAAAACGGCACAAGAACCCCAGTAAAGGTGGTTTTTGGCATGATAGCTTTCTCCAATGGAGAACAAGCAAAAATACAGCCATACTTTGACCATGTGTACCGGCCAGGGAAATTGTGCCTTCGGTGTTTCAGTTGTCTAAACAAATATTGTGCTACTTCTATCAATAAGCTCAACGTTACCTTTAATAAAGATTTCTCTAAAGTCACACTGGCATTTCTTCCATCTGACTGCTATAAAATCATTTTTGTGAATAATATTTCAGTTTTAATGTATTTTCTATGGAGCGTGTTAAAAAAAGAACCCGTTCCTGCTGCCAACTTTAGTACTCTGGGTTTCTATATTATTGTTGGAGAAAAGTTAGACCTTGACATTGTACATCAACACTGGATTTAAGAAAAAACACAAATGTCAATGTTGATAATATTCAGCCTTTTGAGACATTTAGCATTCATTTGCTTTTTGTCCTCATACAAAAATGAGAACTAACAGATTTGGACTCAATTTTTTTTTCTTGCCTTGGTTTATTGATTTAGGTTTACTGATTTACACAGCCTTTAAGAATATTCGTCTATGAATGAAATGCTTTTAAATACAATACTCAAATGATATACATGACTCTTCCTCTTTTATACACTGATATTTGAGACTCTTTGATCCTTGATCATGCTTACTGGGACTGTGTTTTGAACAAAGTGCAATTATGCTCTGTGGCTCTAATTGCCTGTTGCTTGAATGAAACATTAAATGTCATGCTGACAAATTGGTGGAAATGGAGATGATCTGTGTTTCTTTTTTTATTGTTGGTCTCCTGGCAGACGTATAGTTTGGTACACTGACACGCCATGGAACTTTTAGTAAACAATCCATTAATCTGACAAATGAAACTGCCATGTGACAAACATATCCCTTGGGCTGTGAGATTTTTGGAACATCTTCATGCCTTGCTCCTGAACAATACGGGTCAATCCAGATGTTCCTGCATCATTCATAATTAAATGGATTGTACTATATTTTTTGCTTTCCGGTTCAAATTTTAAATGTACAAGCAGTCATTTGATTACACCTTGAGAACAGCTTTCTGGCAAGGAATACATTAATTGTAAAGCTGCAGGTCATGAACAATTGTGTTGGTTGTTCTTACCAGTGCTTCAGTTTTTGGAAATATGAATATGGCTAACCTGGAATTGTCAGAAACTCGAGGGCTGAGATAGACAGATTTTTGCATTTCTGTGCTGACTGTTTTGTTGTTTCCCGGTGAGCTCATTCACATATCTCAGTTTACGGTAATTGAAGCAGCTGGGGAAAAGCTTAAAGCTAGAGTTAATCAAATTATCTGCTAATAGTGTGCACTGTACCTGCTGAATGAACAATGTCACTCACCCAGTTCCAGAGAGCATGGATCCAATCTATGGAAACCACCATCAAGAACAATCTGCACATACATGTGTCTATAAAATAGATACATTGCACAAGAAATTGATACATGGGGCATTCAGTTTGGTTTTTTAATAACTACCTTTTAGTTACTTTTACTTTATGACTATTTACAATGCAGATTTATGTCCAAGCTTTTTTCATTTAATTGTTTTTATTCAAATGAAGGAGTGCTTTAAAAAATGTTTTACTTACAATATAAAGTATGTATTAACTACTTAGCTGTAATTGACAAAATAGAGCAAAAGTGTTCAGCGCAAATGAAAAACATCAAAGGGAAGAACTATTTTAATAAGTTTAACCCATCCACTTTTATAGCATGTAATTAAAGTCACAGAATAAGAATAACACAGGAGGAGGAAGTAAGATTGTCCATCTGTAGATTGTTATTTCTGTTAAGGAGGTAGCAAAAATAAATGAATCATTGGAAATGGAAAGTTTTCATTGCACAGCTTTGGTTGGCACATTTGTATTGGCTAAACAAGGAAATGGAAAGTTTTAAGAAAACAGAAAAAGAATTAAGGAATAATCGGTTAATTTAATTAATAAAATTATTGACATAAATGTGAAAAAGTTATAAATACAATAAAAACTTACTTTTCAAACAGAAGATTTTTCAGACATTAAAGTTTACAATAAGAATCTTTAATACATTTGCAAGAAATAATTTTACAATGGTTATTTTAATATTCAGCTGTTATTAAAGAAATCAGTGATTGTTTAAAAAGTATTGGCTATCACCAAAATCTTTTTTATTTTATTTATATCGAGTCCAATCTTTCAATCAGCGCATCCCCGACATTTTTCCCCTTTATGAGTCGACGACAAAAGCGATCCATGGCTGTGGAATCGCTGCTTACGTAGTCTGGTCTCAGCTTGTTTTCCTCTGTTGTGTAACATGGCCATCCACGTGAATGTGCAGCAAGCGCCTGGCGAGAGGCGGTGTGTGACACACCCACTATTTGTCCCGTTGACCAATCGAGTCGCGGATGTAAATTTAGTCTGTCCAATCATCGTAGAACAGGCGGGGTTTTGCTACGCCGGGCTCACGTTGCACAAATCTGTCAAGCAGTTCGGAAGGGATGACGTCTTGGCTGCGTGACTTGGAAATAACTGAAAGAAGAAAAAATAAATAAAGTTTTTACGGGTCGGACAATCACTTTGAGGACTTTTAACTTTTGTGTACCAGAGTTAACCAGGCTTGGAGTGGAAAGGTAAATATTACATCAAAATATAACAGAAACGAGGAGTCGATCGCGAGAGAGCTAACTCAAGAAGCTAACTCAGATCTAACTAGGGATAACAGTAGATGTGAAAATATTAAGTGTAATCGTTGTTTTGTTTGTTGAACGCCTAGAATGCAGTTGTCAGTCAGCAGTGTGCATTTGTAAGAGTATATTGTATGTCATGGGTGTAAGCAATGGACTGCTGTGTTTATTGCTAATGTACTAGCTAGATAACATGTCAGCCCAAGTCAAGGCACTGCAGCTAGCAAGGTAAGCTGGGTTAGCTTGCAGCCCTTTAACTTGATGTAGCAGATGTTTACCAGCAATTCTGAACATTTAAAACTAAATTCCCACCAACACATACAGTTGCAACAGTTGCAGGCCATTGTTAATATCAGTTTAGGTTTCACTATAGTATTTGAGGCGTCTGTTAATTAAACTGCTCCTTCTTTTTTTTTTTTTCTCTCGCATAATTGTATATTTACATTATACTGTGGCATTGCTGCTGCCATTTAAAGCTGGACAGATGTGTGCCATCTTACGCAACATCAAATGAATGACGACTGCGCTTTACGTTGGTGAGGTGGATTAGCAGCTGCCACCCCGCACGTCTTCTAAAGAGGCGTGCTTTGGTTACAGACTTTTCAGGTCAGTGGGTTCTTCATGGGAGGGGGTTGTAAACCATACAATAAGTGTCACCGTTGTTGTGTGCAGTTCTGATCCATAACCTGTTGGTGTCTGGAAATATGTTTCACTTTTCTGCTGTAGGAAGCACAATGCACACATGAGGGTTTGTCTCTGCTTGTTTACTCGGCTGTGCTTGGGTTGGCTGTGCCTTCAAATACTCCTAGTCAGAATCAGTCAGCCCATTATAATGTTGCTGTTTTTTTCTTTTAATAAATAAGTGATAAATGTATGATGTAATGAGGCTTGAGTCACACTTAGCTCCTTCATAAGATGCATGGTATAGAATTATCATCCCAAGGATTTACTTCAGGATATGCAAATACGCTTTATTGTGATTTATATCGTAACACAGGGGACCCTTTTCAAATAGTGTTTTCTTGGACAGTTAATATTGCTCCATTTATGGATACAGAAAAAGCCTGTTGTCTCTATTAAGCAGTTTTTGAAGGTTGTGGTGTTCCATTTTTAATAAACCTCAGAAATCTGCAGATTCAATCATTTTAGAAACCATAATTGTTAAATTGTTAAAGCTTTGAAAAGGTGTTTCTGCAATATCGATGATTTTTATATCAATGATGCCCAGCTACAGAATACAAACACCTCCTTCTACAATACAAAATACTTCATCACCCTCACAAACTTGGGGTTCAAGTAAAGTTTTGGTTTGATCCCCAGCCTAATCATATGATGATTCTGAATCTGATGGTAGGAAAAAAATAGGAATTCCGTAAAATCTTAAGATCAAAAAGTACTATGTAATTACAGACATTGGAAACGAGGATACCTTTGACTCAATTCCTCTACAAAACATTCTCAAAATGGTTTACAAAATTGAACTTTGTAGCCTAGCTGCTAACCATATCAAAATATTTTGCGGGAGTTTAAATGATAGGTACTCCAGACCTTTTCTGACTGCTTTTAACAAAGGTTCTGCCAGAAACTGTTCCTTTTTGAGAAGCAGTGGAGAAAAGCAAAGATTGCACACCTAGCTCAGACTTGTCTGTGAGCTGTGTAGTTCAGACAAAGTCAGAGCGTGTAAGGGCTAAACTATCGAGTAATTGCTTGTTTATACACACTGAATTGAAACACGCAGTTATGTAACTCTGCAGTGACGACCTGGTGATGATGCAGAATATATTCACTGGTTCCTGTTTTTTCCTCTCAACGTGTAGTTCTTCTCAGCGTCCTCTCTAATCTGTGGCTGCAGCTGCAGTTTTGATTACATTATTACTCATGGAAAGGCCACAGAGAAAAGGCTGAGAGAAGACAGAAAACAAATGCGTTGCTGTAGATTTCAATAGATATAACCCTGGCTGTCTCTTGGAGGGCTTACGGAAAATTTAAAATCTATTCCTGATTTTTTAGAAGTTGCAGGCATTATGCAAGTGATTGTCACATCATAAATGTTTTATTCCTGGTGTGTAATGGCGGAATGTTAAAGTTGCCTCTGGTCTCTGTAGTATTGATGGGTGAAATGTGTAAATGGTGGCTGACAGATGAGTGAGTCACAAAGCAGTACAGAAGCAAGGTTGTCTGATCTCCAGACAGCCCAGTAGGATTAGATAAGAAGGCAGACTGTAGTTATTCACGTCAAAACATTGTCCTCTTGTTCAGAATATTTTATGTGCTAATATTTTTGCAAGAGGTGATAAGTTAAATAATTTAATGAAAGTTTCCTGTCCTCGTCTTGTGTTTGTGCCAACTGTTGCACCTGTGGTGCGTTCACTTTGCCGTTGTAAATACTGCTCTGTGACAAAACAGATTCAAGAGCAAATACCATTTTACAATGTCTAATAGCATCCCTCAATGTCCTTCTGGATCTTGACGCTACTGAAAGCTAAAATGAGAAGGCTAAGTCAGACAGGGCAGTATTTAAGCTTCATATCATAACATATTTTGGCATTAAAACTTGGACTAATCGTCACAGTGAAGTCCTTGTTAACTTTATAGTTAGAGATATCAAAAAGATGTCGCTCTTAAAAACTCATGACTGATTATATTTCCTGTATGTTTTTTTTTTCCCCTCAATCTTGCAGTGTTTAAGACTGATCACCACAGATCGTTTCATCTCTGACAATTAACTGAACCATTAACTGAACGACTCTTCACTTACCGTCACCACATGGAAGCCACTCCCTCTGCTCAACATATGAAGACCATTACCTGCAACTATAACTGGACAAAATGCTATTAATGTGTGACCAAAGTCCGGTGATGCCAGGAGGTAGCAGTGGTCCGAATGTGGAGAATCCAGCTTTACCGTCTGCCCCAGCAGACGGAAAAGGAGAAGAGACAGTGTTGTCAGGTCACCAGGATGGGCATGCACAGTCTGAGTGTCTGGGGGGAAAAGATAGCGGAACTTCAGGAGCAGAAGAGGGGCGAGAAGATGAAGAGATGACCAGCTCTTCTCACGATCTGCCTTCCTCTGCTCATCAAAGCCCCAGGAGCCTCATAGAATCCACCTCAGCTTCTACCAAGAGGTACCCCATCTGACTTTTGGCTAAGTATAAGCATCAGACCTGTTGCACATTTAATACAAAAGATCTTACAACATGATCTGGAACTAAATGCATTGGCTGCAAAGACGGATCATTTTAGCCAAATTCTGTGTGTTTAGTAATCAACTCATCAACTGCTGCTTTCTCACTTAGCTGTACAAGGTGGAGTGGGTCATAGTTGAACAAAGCAGTAGATCATTAAACTGTGATGAACAGTAAATATATGTTGAACACTAATAGTTGTAACTGCATCTTTGGCTGTATTGGGTGAAGACAGCCTGCACGCTTTTTCAACTTATCAAATCTGACATGTCCTAAATCAATGCAGCAATAAATAGTTCAGATTTGAATTTTGCTGATTACAAAGCTCTCTAATACTACTGAGTAGATCTCGATTCTAATCCAATCTAAAATTGCTCATTGAATGTTAGCAATTGTCCCTTTTTTTTCATTCCCATCTTAGATGGCATTGTGCATTACAGCTGTATGTTAAATTATTTTGACTAAATCTGCATAAATTGCTCTAAAACTCGCAGCTCATAGAACCAATCAGGTGTAATGTCTGATGTCATCCTTTTGAGAACTCACAGCCTGATCTACAGTTTTTTTTCGTTTCTTTTAAGAGCCTGACCGTCTCATATATTATTTCCTCTCTCTCTGATGTCTGTTATTGTGTGTTTAGCAGTGAACACACAGACAGCAGCAGAGGGCAGACCCACAGAGAGCTGATGACCACAGTGGCGGAGATGAAAAAGAGGCTCCCTTCTGAGAGGCGGAGCCGCAGCAAAGCCAGCACAGTGGAGGCCTTACATTATGCCCTCAACTGTGTCAAGCAGGTGCAAGGTAAGGTGGCTAACCAACCACAGTTACACAGTCATAAGACCTGATTTTCTTTAAATCCAAATAATATATATATTTTTTCTTTTTTCTTTCTTTTTTTATTCGTCCCCACTTGTAGCTAACAGTGAATACTACAAACTGCTGATGCAAAATGGGCAGGACGAGAGGAGAGATGCCACCGTTTGCACTCTTGAAGAGCTAGAGAGAGTCACCTCTGAGCATACCCTTAAAAATACAGTATGAACAGACACACACACACTTTACATGCGTGATGCACACAGCCGGAGCTGTCGTCTTTTCTTTGTGCACATGCTCGCCAAATCGCACATTTCGACTCGGTGCTCCGTACCATTTGTGGGCGGTTTCCCACGTGCAACCACACATGTCAAATAATTTGTGCCTCAAGCCTGAGCGAGTGTATGAGTGTGTGTGTCTTTACAGCTTCTGTGTGTGTGCGTGTGTATGTGTGACTTGGTGGACGTCTCTCTGTGTCTGCTCGCAGGATTCCTTCGTGGTGGTTTTCTCACTGTCAAGCGGCCATGTCCTGTACACATCGGAGCAGGCTCCCAGCATCATGTGTTGCAAGAGGAAGTTTCTGGAGTCCGCAAAGTTTGTCGAGCTGCTCTTTCACCAAGATGTTAATGTCTTCTACTCACACACGGCACAACCACATCTTCCACCATGGAGCAACTCACACAAAGGTAGGATTTCAGCATATGTTTCATCAGTTTATCTTCCCTTTCATTTTAGTGTCAACTTTAGTTTGTGATTGTTATGTGAACTGGGGCTCATGGAAAAAAAAAAAAGAATGAACCGCAAGTTACTTGGCTCCATTATGATCCAACACCAACAGTCTTCACGAGTAATAAATTCTGACCTTAGCGCTAGATACTAAATATGTTGAAATGATAAAATCCAGGTACATGATAATGCCAGATGACTGAGAATAAAACAGAGGTCTAGTGAGGTTGTATGACTGAGCTGAGATGACAGGGTGCAGACTTAAGTCACCGACTGTCACATTCCATGCTGGGAAAGAACTGCATTAGTCAAAGCAAGACGTAGCCATGGCCTGTACTTGGAGTCGAGCTGCTTTTCTTCTTATAAAAGGAACGTGAGCAAGAAGGCAGATTATTCTTGGTTTTAAAAGTAAAACAAGACATCACTGATGATTTGTTTGTGAAATTGTGAAGGGAGTGATATTTATATTGATATTGTGTTGGAATCTTTGGGATGAAATGTCTGACAGCTCAGTGTTTGAGAGGAATAGTTGACATTCATTCATCTAACTGGATTAATCAGAGACAGTTGAGAATCCCTCTAAAATTGATTGGGTGAAGAATAGATGCAGTAGGGTTTCATCTGCATAACAGTGACGCGAGACGCTGCATAAGAAGAAAACTAGTTAATATTTCAAGGAGAAGAGGTCCCATGCTCTGGGGAACCCATGCAAAGGAGGGCCTATTTCGTCCTGCCATTATGCATTGTGTTTTTGAAAGAAAAAAAAGCCTTGATGTGCAGCTGAAACCAATTACCCATCACAGAGAAAAAATTATCAGTTTGATGAATTTAATGTATTGTTTTTGAAGCATAATTCTCCTGTCTCTATTCTTTTTTTCAAAAGCTGGAGTTCTGTTCGATAGTGCCCAAGTCAAGTCCTTCTTTTGTCGAATCAGGTCAGTATTTTGCATGATTATTTAAGATAAGAGTTTGATAACATTTTGACTTAATTTACTTGTTTAGTTTTATTTCTAAATAATAAAAAGGATCAAGTTAACATATTTGTAGCTGTATAAATGATACAGGGCTTATTGTTTGAGGCAAAGTTTGTTTTTAAGAACAGAATTATGTGTAAGTCAACATAGTTTATTTTTGAAAACTTGTCAGCAAATGCAGGTTTTTTTAGTTTGATTATAACAGAAGTGAACCTCTTTTAGGGGTGGTAAGGATCGTGAGGGAGAGATGCGCTACAATCCATTTCGAGTCACGCCTTACTTGCTGCGGGTTCAGGGAAGTAGGAGCATTGGGGAGGATGAGGAACCATGCTGCCTGGCACTGGCTGAGCGCATCATCTCTGGATATGAGGGTAAAATCATTAAGACCACAAACTATTGTTTGCTTGTGTTCAGACACACTTTTTAGTATTTCATAAGAATTGTATATCAGTCCAGTTTTATCCATTGAGAATAAATACATATTTAACCCCGATTCATTCCTTCTGTTCATCCCTAGTGTGCATTAGTCCACATGCAGAGGTGATGAGTTATGTGTACTATTTTGTCCTTATTCTTGCATATTTACGCAGCTCCTCGAATCCCCATGGACAAGCGCATTTTCACCACAACACACTCCCCTGGCTGTGTGTTCTTAGAAGTTGATGACAGGTCAGTGCACGCAGTGACGTGTGCATATTCCAAAACATTGTGAAATGCCGTTTGCTGACAAAACAAACCTGCCCCTTTGCAGAGCTGTGCCTTTGCTCGGTTACCTTCCTCAGGACCTGATTGGCACATCATTGCTGACCTGCATTCACCCAGAGGACCGTCCCCTCATGCTGTCTATGCACAGGAAAGGTGAGTTTTTAAGCACGAGCCTGAAAGTGTGAGAACTGAGAAGAAATGTTTATGATGATGTTGGATTTCAGCCACTCATTTTTTAGTGGTTGATGGGACAGGAATGCAGGCAGACTTTTGTTCAAACTCATGTTGCTGTAATACATACAGAACATATTTTCAAATTATGTTCTGTTAATATAAAGTCCCCCCATTCTTTTTTCCACATCATTTTTTGGAATGTTTAAATTATGTTTGCTTTGAGGCATTGGTATTTTTCATGTTTTCTCCCCTTATGCTCTCTGTAGTTTTGAAGTATGCAGGCCAGTCTCCATTTGAGCATTCTCCAGTACGTCTGCGTTGTCAGAATGGAGACTATGTCACCTTGGACACCAGCTGGTCAAGCTTTATCAACCCTTGGAGTCGAAAAGTGGCCTTCATTATTGGGCGGCACAAAGTCAGGACGTAAGTGACAAAAACATAACTTCAGACAGTCATGTTTGTCATGATAATGTATCTCCCCTTTTTGTCTTAAAGATGGCAAATGCTGTTATTTTAAAGAGAAGTTACCCTAATAAATAATCTGATCATCAAGATGACATCATTGTGTTGTTGTTTCTGTAGGAGTCCTCTGAACGAAGATGTGTTTGTAGCTGGGGCAAAAGAAGATGTTCCTGTCACTCATGAGGAAATAAAAGATCTCCAAGCAAAGATCTATAAGCTTTTCCTGCAGGTGATTAATTATTATTAATCAATAATAATTATGTATTCATTTATTTAAAAATGCAATAGAATAGATTATAATTACAAATTGTGGAATGCTCTTATCTAATAATATAAAGTCTTTACTGTGATGTGTTTTGTTTGTGTGCATTTTCTCCACAGCCGGTCCACAACAATGGTTCCAGTGGTTATGGTAGTTTGGGGAGTAATGGCTCCCATGAGCACTACATCAGCATTGCATCCTCGAGTGACAGCAATGGCAACCTGTGGGAGGATTCCCATCGAGAGCCGGTGAGACGTCAATCCACAGTTTGGATGTTTGTCATCTACCCTGCTATTAGTTGTTTTCCCTGATCCATCACGCATGTCTGTCACTGCAGATGACCTTGCAGCAGATTTGTGCCGATGTGAACAAAGTGCAGGGTTGGGGTCAGCAGGGATTTCTGGATACCAACCGCAAAACTGCTCCTCACACCAAACGTAGTACAGGTAAACCAGTCCCAGACAAAATAATTTAAACATAAATAGTCCTACAAAACAGAACTTTGTTTGACAGGTAATTCATGTGTACTGTAATGACAAAATGTCACTTTGTTTGTGCAGCACTTCTTCCCCCCCCAGCCACCAACCGGGAGGTCAGAGAAAAACAAGAAAGCATGAAACAAACGCACATTCCCTCCTATCAGCAAATCAATTGTGTGGACAACATCATCAGGTAGCATCACCACAACACTAATCGGATTTAATTACCATGGTGCAGCACTCAGTCTTGGACTTTGTGCAACTCCCTATCGCCGTGACTGTGTTTGGAAATGTTGTATTTTCTAGATATTTGGAGAGCTGTACTGGTACAGCCCTGAAGCGGAAGAGTGAATCCCATTCCTTGGCCACCTCTTCTTCCTCTTCCTCTACCTCCGATCATGACAAGCCAGCAGATGTCACTGACACGGCTCCAACCAGTTCAGATGGTAAAGACACACACAAAAGACGTCACAAAACTTGATTTAATAAGTCACCTCAGCCTCTTTTAACTCTATTTCACCTCACTTTCCAGTGATTGTGTTGGACAGTGAGGTGTCAGTGGGCCCTACAGCTGCCACTGTTGTCGGGGCCCCTCTAACAGACATCACTATGTCCACTAAGGCCATGAGTGTTGTCTCGGTCACTAGCCAGTGTTCATACAGCAGCACCATCGTCCATGTGCCACAGCCCGAGTCAGGTATATGATAAACTTAAATCAGATGATGGGAGCTGCTCAGAAGGTTTTCTTTTTCTTTTTTTCTCTTATTTTATCCCTGCATGTTTTTGATAGATCTTACATCCAAAGTAAGTGACTATTATAACTGTGTAGAACAGTGTATCTGGAGAACTGCCCATTTTCAGTATAGTCAGTATATTTTTCTGCACTTTGAAAAGCTTCAATCAACCACTTCTTTTAGTTTTATAATGGAGAACTGCTTAGTTGTTTATTTAACTGAATTATTACCCTGCTGTCGTGTCCCAGAGGCCACAGCTCCGGAGGATGCCCCGATGGGCAGTGAGCCTGCTGAAACTGCTACAACCCCTGTCCGTCCATTCCCGAGCGCTGCTGCAGAAGAGCGAAGGTTTGTAGGTCTCACCAAAGAGGTGCTGTCAGCCCACACCCAAAATGAGGAACAACAATATGTGGATCGCTTCCGCCATCGCATCTTTCAGAGCCCCTACAGCTCCTATTTGCACCTGGATAACAGTTCAATGGCTCAGTCCCACCAACCAGGTTGGTGCTTATTGATGCGAAAGGTATTTTTTGTTACAGTGCCTGAAGGAACCTTTATTTAGGCTTACCTATTGTTTGTATACGTGCCTGCACAGGAGACTATTTACGTCCATTGAATGCAGGAGGTTGGAACCGCTCTCGAAGAGGAAAACCCAGACGCAAGAGACCCAAGCCTCAAGGTTCCTCAGACAGCTATGGCTCCCCTGCTGCTCCCCCTTGCCGTGTTCCTGAGTCCTCTTGGCCCTCCTCAGAATCCTCGCATCCCCAGATGGGGGTATCCTACAGTCAAACGTCCCCGCTCCAAGTACCGTTCCTTCCTACCACGGGAAAGCCTGGCATGGAGAACCCCCCCAGCCTACAACAGGCTCTAGCAGCACCTACGGTGACGCTGCAGCCCCCTGACCAAATCAACTACAATTTTAATATCATGCAGTCTGGTCAGAGCCAGCCAGGTGTGCAGCAGATCCAGATGGAGCCCATTCAGAATCTGCAGAATGTCCAGAACATTCACAATCTGCAGCCAGTGACTCCAGCCCAAAGCTTCAACCCGTACATGGCTCCTGTCATTGCTGTCATCCTGCCCAGCTGTCCAACTGTCCTTCCAGGTTTGCCAACCATTTACCCGCCCTCCATTCCACCTGTTATGCCCCAAATACCCATAAACATGGGCGACTATGGACCTGGCGCTGCCTCCTTCCCTCAGCCTCAGTTCCAGACCCAGCCTGGCCTCCACAGTCAGACCTCCCCAGGCCCTTTTCAATGCTCCCCAAGAGCCAGCTCTTCTATTGGGGATGAAGAGGAAGGAACAGAGCCTCGGGCTTTATTCTCTAGCTCTCGTTCGAGCTCTCCTCTTCAACTCAACCTGCTACAAGAGGAGCTTCCAAAGCCGAATGAGGGGCAGAGCAGCGCTGGACTCAACCACGCTGAAAGCCTCCACGAACAGCACACCAACGAGGTTAGGCTCATATTGCCCATCATGCATTGCCTTTGAAGGTTGTAATTCTGTATTCACAATATAATGGCTGGGTTTCATGGCTTGCTCAGGTGGATGCCCCCTGTGATTCGGGTAACAATGATGCCCAGTCAACATCCAGTGAGCTGCTTGACCTGCTGCTGCAAGAGGATGCCAGATCAGGAACCGGCTCTAATGCTTCAGGGTCCGGATCGGGAGAGTCTGGGGGTTCAATGGGGTCTGGATCTGGCTCGAATGGAACATCTACCTCACACACGGGTAAAAAAGAAAAAAAACGCATGCTGAGAGTGGATTTGACACGTTACATTTTATAGTTTTAGTTGTTTAGATAAGTCTGATTTCTAAAGTGTACTCTTCTTTTACTTTTTCTCACATTATGACATGATGATAAGGCGATGAAAGAATACAGACCAGAACAATGCAAGGCACTGAAGTGAGATTTGACAACAAGGTGATAAGTGAGTTATGTAGAGTTCTCCCTGGGTTACAGGCAGCAGCAACAGCAGCAAATACTTTGCCAGCAACGATTCGTCAGACACATCACACAAAGCTCGTAAGAGCCAAGAGGCACCAGAGCAGCGCCCGCATGACTTCGACGCTCAGGTGGAGAATTCCCTGTGGAGCATGATCCAGCACACGCCTGAGCGTGTCATGATGACGTACCAGGTTCACACCAGGTATAAATTCACACTGCCTTCCTGTAGCACTGATGACTCATTTAGACAAAACCCTACCTGTAACCGGGGTGAAACCAATGCTATAATGATGAAGACACCAAAAGCAGAAGTCACTTTCGGTGGAAACAAATGCTGGCTGGACTGTAAAGCTCAGTACAGAATGTATGTTCTTTTCTTCTATCTTCACCATTCTCACACCTGTTTTCTCTTTGCCCTGTCTTGCTTCATCTCCAGGGACCAGAGTGAGGTGTTGGCAGAAGACAGAGAGAAGCTTCGAGTGCTTCAACCCCTCCAGCCCTGGTTCAGCCAGGAGCAGAGAAAAGAGCTCGCTGCTGTCCATCCTTGGATCCAACAGCACACCATCCCACAGGAAATAAACACCCAGGTACCACAGGGGCCTCAGCACGATCATCTTTCTCACTGCGCCGGCCTCACTGCTCATCAAACATGTTCTGTGTCACTCAGGGTTGTGTGAGCTGCAGCGCAGGCACAAGCATGGCCTACTCCCCTCACCCACCTGCCCCAGACAGCTCATCGCCGGTGGAGAGCCCACAGCTGGACTCCGTTGGATCTGTGGTCAATACTTAAGAGACCTCGAAAAGACACCAGCCACCACACCTCTCACAGTGAACCAGCCTTGTCAGTAACCTGACGCACCCACGTTAATCTGTTCTAACTAGTCCAGTGGAGTGGATCAATCTCCTAAGGCTCAGAATTTTTGTAAAGGCAACAGAGGTGGATCAGGCCCTAAAGAGGCAGAAGACAGGCCCGTTACTGACACTCTCTCTGTCAGACTGCTGGGACTATACTGCACCTCTGATACTTTACTATCGTTTTCTCTTCGTGTTTATGGAGCCCTTGGAGGGATGTATGTTATTTTTCAAACTTCCCGGATCCACTGGCGCTCTGAGCCTAAAGCTGTTCAATAAAAGAATAAGGTCCTGTAGCTGCTGCCCCACAACATGATCACTGTGTAAACACCTGTACTAACTGTGTAGTTAGTGTGTGACTTGGTGACCGCCCAAAAACAGTGTTGGCCCAGTTTCTGTGCTGGCACACACACCCGTTCCTTTTCAAATGATATAGTGTACAGACTGTACAGTATGTGTAACACACAAACTCCTTCAGTGACATGCAGTGATAATCTGCCATGACCGACGCATGGTAGACTGTTTTTAGGGGAACGCTAAGACAACGGCACTTTTGTTGCTTTGTTGTTTATAAAATTTAGATTAAAGTCTCGTACGTTGTTTTTTGGATTTCACCGTGCTCTTATTCCATAGCTTGGTTTCTTCTTGTCCAGAACATCCTTCTGTTTTTTAAGAATATATTATGGCCACTCAGTAAGAGCGGTCAACCAGTTGATACTTTTAAACTGACATCACACCTCCAAGTCAATCCCGTTGCTCAAAGCCCTGCCGTTAGACTTTTCACCCCCAGTATTCTGCTTGGTCGCCACCTTGTAGTAATTGCAGCCCACCCATAACACCCACCTACGGGGGGCCCAAGATATCAACTGATTTGACGTTTCCTTTCTGGATTTCCTTTCGGACCGTGTAGCTGATTGATTTATTGTGTGTGTCTGTGTGTGTGGCTGCGTAAAGAGGGAGACAGGGCGGAACTGACAAACTCACTGTCGTTCCATGAATGTTGTCGCTCTTCTTCATGTGCTGCGGTTGGATTGCAGGTGAGCTCGCGAGTGTGACTGCTGCTTTGTTCGATACACTTCTCTATCAGTGGAAAAACAGACCAGGTTTTCTACCATTTTTAGATTTAAAGTATATTACAGTACTGTGTATTTTATATAAAATGTACACAAAACAAACTTCACCAAGTGTGTAAAAAGCCATTTGTTTTGAATTCAGGGATTGTTTGTTTGTGACACAAAGGAATGATTAAATGACCTACGACATAATTTGTGTGTTGTATGATTCATTCAATGAATTTCACTTTTAAAAGTAAATGAGCAAAAAACTGAACTTATATAGCTTTGTTTTAAAAAATGACTTTATTAGCTTTATAATGCAGCAACACATTTGGTGGTTAAATCTAAATGATGTATGAAAAAGTAAGAATAAATGTTGATAAAAGTGACCAAAGGAAAGCACAAAAAAACAACAATAAACTCTGGTTGTACACTGGGGGACGCCAACAACCATTGAAAAAAAGTGTGCTTAAGCCAAAAAGTTATAATAATTATACAGTGAAATTCAAGTGCAGCTAATGGTAGAATTTATTCTGAAATTAAGGTGTATATATAAAGCCAAGCAATGGCCCATAGTTCCACGTAATAGTGGGCTTACATTCCATTGTCACAACGTAATAGGATACTTGACAAGAAAAAGAAACTCAACAACTTGACACAGTCAAGTGTCGTTTGCAACACAAGTGTATAACAAAACGTTCCACAGTGCATATTAAATGATCGCCTTTACTGTGTGGTATTAAGAAAGTTGTCAGAAAAACGCTGGTTGGTGTCTTTAAAAAAACATTCATGAGTGTAGTAAAAAAGACAAACTGCGTCACTGGTCAGTTAGAATTCAGTTCCTAGAAACCCTACACATAAGCAACACTTCAAGAGCACTTCAGTCCGGACAGAGTGGAATATTGGAGTACAGAACAAAGAGAGAAGAACAAGTGAAAAAGGAAAACGATGGCATCTTGTAACGGTAGCAAGAATAATTCAAATGACAAAAAGCTATCTGCATTTGTTGTTGCACAACTTTGGGAATTCTGCTCATGCACACATTTCTCCAGAACGAATCAAGCCAGACTTGGGTCACCCTGCACAAAAGTCCCTGCTTTGGTTTTTTGAAAAGCAAATATATGTGTCTAACGCTGACAATTTGACCACGCGTGGCCTCGGTGAGTTCTTCCGCGTGTCGCAGCAAAGCATTCCTGCAGCGTCGGCTTCCTTTGCTGTGGAGTCTCTCCTGCCAGGACAGAAGGAACTGCGGAGCTGTTCAGACTGGAGCGCAGCCTCTGGACCAGCCAGTGACTTGGATTTAGCTTCTGTCTCGCTTTTTTCACTTGGAAAACTTCTGCATCTCTGCAAGACAAACAAAGGCTCGGGTTGAGAGCGAAACAGGGAGGAAATTCCACTGCGTATGTGTGCATACCTTTGTCCAGATCAATGACTTTTGGCTGCGTGTTCACGTGGGCCTTCTCTTTTAGCAGGTTGTTCTTGTAGTCTAAGGCCCAGGGGGAGACAGCAACAGCATTCCATTAGGCTCGGCCTACATCTACGTACAGATCTACAACTGCAGCCATTTAATCAAGAAAACAACGAAGGAGCGCCCGCAGACTCTTCACCATCATTGCAATGAGAATAGGGACGCTCACCAAATCTTCTCTCCTCCTGGCAGCATACGTCCACATCACTGACGTCCATCTCAAACTCGTCTGAGCTGCTGCAGCTTCTGCCTGACCTGTCACAGACACACATGGCATCACATCTGCGCTGACGGGCAACACCACAACAAGTGTGAGTGTGTGTGTGTGTATGTGTTGGCGCGCCGGGGACGCTCACCTTACAGATGCCTGGGGGTAAAATTCTGAGAACGCAAAGAAAAAAGAGCATTTGATGACATGGCTCAGAGCTATTGGGGCGCAGCGCTAACAAACGAGAGTGGAGCAGTTCGGTTCAGACCTTTGGCTCGGCGCCGGCGTGTGATGAGGATGATGATGAGGATAACGAATGCCAGGAGCAGGAAGGAGGTGAGGACGTAGCCCAGAGGCAGGAGAAAGTGGTGTCTTTGATCTGGAAGGATGACGGTGATGACTCGTGGTGACTCGGCTTTAGTGGCATCTGAGTGGTAAAGGAAAAGCCCCGACAGTCAGCACTTTGATATTGTTTTTCCTCATCTTTTCTTTCACAAGCAGACTGGTGTGCCATCCTGTGGTTGACAGAAGTAGTATATTTTTAAAAAAGGCTGTACATTGACTAGACACGATTCGGCTTGAGGGACACTGAACCCCTCATTGCTATGTCGAGTTGTAAATGACAGTTTGCATTATTTGTTTCAAGATACTGAACTCTCTGGAACTGGTTTCAGTTGTAGATTTTTTTCTCAGTAAATTGGGTCATTTGACACTTTGTGTTAAATGTTTGCTTGTTAAAGAGGTAGGTTTCATCTATCTGTAACACTAGCTCCTGCCTGAACAAACACATGTTTCTGAAGAGTGATTTTTAACATGGCTTTTTTTTATATTTTCAGCTGTGCAAAATGCTGAACACAAAAGGGAAATGAGGAGCGATTAGGGAGCTGCGGGTGACATGTGTGGTTCAGCTGAGTGCTGAGAGGGAGAGAGAACCCAAGGAAAACCTGAAATCATTTACCTTCATAAAAAAAAAGTGCAAGTTAAGGAGCAGCTGTGGACTTCAGACTCAACATATTTGAGCCAAAATGAGATCCAGACTAGTGTCATGCTGCGATTTACTTTTCCTGGCAGTAAAACACAGAAAAGCAGAGCACCAGAGGAGTGAAGGAAGGACAGGGTGGGGTGGAATGGTGGAAGGAGAGCCAAGAGAGAGTGGAGGACGGTGAGAGGTTTCTCCAGAGGTTTGCTCCACACAAGGCAGCAAGACCCCCGAAATCCCAACCTATGCTCGTCTGCAGTTTGAAAAAAATGTTACATCTTCCTCAAAGTTGTACCAAGAAAAGACTCTATTAGGAACAATGGGGATGCTTAATTTTTCTCCTCTTTACCTATCTTTCCCTTGTCCTCCCTTCTGTCTCAGCAACTCAAAAACTGCCTCACTGTCTTTCCCCATCCGTCTTTCTCTCACTTTAGGCTTTAGGCTTCTCTTTGTGTGGCCAGCTGCTGAGCAGATGAGCCCCACATCCTGCATTTCTCTACAAACAACAATAGTTTCTATTTTTCTTTTGCTAAAAAGAGCAGGGAAAGAGTGGTGGAAAACTGGGAGGGTAAAAGGACTGTGATGGAAATGAAACCTGAGTGTGTGAAATCATCAAAGCGGGGAGACGGAGCATGGGTAAGATGAAGGTGGGGCAAAGGAAGGGGGGAAACTTCTGCAGTATGTCAGGGATAAGGCAAAAACAACAGCCCAGCAGACAGTCGAGAGGGCAAAATGAGACAGATAAAAAGATGGAAGACGGCACGGAGACTACAGAAAGCTTGCGCTAAAGTATTCCTGAGCTGGAGATTAGATCAGTTCAACTTTAACCAGTGTAATTCCTGTGGTACAGCCCCTCTGCTGTCTCTTTACAGCTCAGAGACTCAGGGATTATTTGTGTGGGCAGCGCTGGATTTCAGTCAAAAGACTATCCAAGAGATTCCATTGAAATGAGATCGGCGCTCTTGGCGCTCTGTTTTGCACGCACAGACAGCCACCAGCAGAAACTCCATAAATGATTTTCCTAAACCGATCCGTCTGTCAGTATCATCATTGTTTCAGGTGCCTTCTGGGAGTGAAAAAATAGACACAATCTCCAGAAACCTCCTCATTATCAAAGAATCCGATGTGAGTTGCTGGCAAGAAAAAATGCCAGTCTTATCCCCCTCTTTTCTACTTTCCTTTCTCTTCTTTTATCCTGTGGAAGGGTGTTTGAGGCAGCAAAGCAAATCTCTGAGAATAAGCTGCAAACCGGCAGCTGCATGCCCCCAAAGTCAAACAGCAGTACAGATACATGTTTCCTTTACCGAACTGACAATTAAAATTGAGAACTGGCTGAAAGGCGAGTTTATATGTGTGATTCCAGGAGTCTGGTGTCATACAAGAGCAAGAGAAAAACATTTTTCCTGAAACTGAGGGAAAACATCGTAAAGACGAGGGGTTCTTCCCCTGCTGCTGCTCTGTTGTCTGGAGAGTCTTAGAGGAGGTGAGGAAGACAAAACAAGAGTAAAGGAAAGAACAGATGTGTGTGTGTGTGTGTGTTTTGCTGTGTTCTGATAGTACACACGATAGCTCAGATCCACTAAGCGATATAACATTTGCTCCTCGGGGTACTTGTGCTGACATATAATGATTTGAGAGGGAAGAGATATCAGTACGTTACCTTTTTCTTCGCTAGGCAACGCTTGAGCGGGCTGGGTTGTCTGAATCAGCGGTAACTCCACTGTGACCTGAAACTCTCGTCTCTCGTGCAGGCCGCAGTAATGATGGTGGAGATGGCAGGAATACGTCCCCCTGTCTGTAGGCTACCAAAGCACAAGTTTATTCGACTTCATTGGATAATTAGCAGCGATATAAAGAGGCAAATGAACTGGTCTCTGGCTCTGTTCTCCATTACTCAGAACAAACTTTTGGGTGCGCTCAACCCGAATGGAAACAGGCAATTGTCAGGATGTTAACATGCTAATTTTCATTAGGATTCTGCACTATTATCACAAAATTAATTTGGTCTGTTAGCCAAATGATGAGGACATCTGCACATAATAAAATGGTTGTTTGTGTCTAACGTATTGCTGATGTGTCCAAGAAGCAGATTTGTTCTCTTCAGCTTCGACTGAAAAACCAAATCAAAACTGGTCTCATGCTACAGTTGGATTCCAGAGCCTGCATTTGGCCTAGATGTTCTCATTTCCGGACTCTGTTAATATCAGTGGGATTCTTTATGTTGCCTGTGGCTGAAACCATAAACCTTCTCCTGTTGGCTGTCGTAACAAATGGCAACAACTGTTGATCCTGTTATTTTTTTTCATTTGAGTGATTGCTCAACTCATTGTGAGCACCAATGTCTTTTCCCAGTGGTGCCGTAATGTCGAACTTGACAACAGATGTACTACTAATGAGCGCTCTGTGTTTTCCTGAAATACTGCGTCACATGCACACGCCCGTGCAAACACACTTTGGTGAACCTCATCTCCTCCAGCACACGGCTCGCTGTTGCTTTCCTTTCACACACTCAGACTCACACACACACCTGCAGATCCGATATAGCGAGCGAGAAGTCTCCCACGGAGAACGCGTGATTGCTGATGTTCATTTTCCTCTGGAGGAACAGGGGCCCGTAGCTACGCTGCTCCCCGGAGGCGTACAGGTCCACCAGCCGGTCGGCCTGGTCGTGCCGGACCCCTGGAGACTGATGGTCCCAGTGGACCACCTGGAAAGGTGTGGCATCTTCAATTGATATACAGTAACCAATCAGCGTTACGGATTTATTACAAAAAAACAGGCGAAGAGGTTCACCTGCTGGTCCTCCTCCTCACTGCTCCAGTCTGTCCAGACGGCCCGTCTGTTGACGCAGGGCAGGACCACCGTGCTGCCCAGCAGCACCACGTACACCGCCTTGTGTCCGTCCCAGAAGCGCTGTTCCTTACGGCCTTTTTTGGAAAAGGGGAAGGACACAGAAGGCAAGGGCAGAAGGTGAGGGGAGACGTTTGTGGGACTGCAGGACGGTTCAGATGTGGGTCCGGGCGGCACATACGGGATTTGGTCACATTGAGCTGGACTCGAACCGTCTCGTACAGGTGGCAGTACAGATGGTGCAGGTTGCAGGAGTACAGACCCCTGTCATTCATGGTCACATCTGTCATCACATATGGAAAGAAAAACATGAAAAGAAGCGAAAAAAAGAAAAAGAAAAAGGCACACGTGTTGATCTTCTTTTTTGTCGGTCATCATCACTTACATGATGTTTACTTCACATGCATTTGAGGCCATTAAAATTAGAGAGGCTGAGACAGCTCACACATCAAGCTCATTAAGCTTTAGGTTTTTGCTCTTATATTTTCTGCAATGAGGTCATTTGCTTTGTGTTTAATGAGCTCATAGTGACATTTGCAACAAAGATGTACCCACGCTCCTTACTACCTGTTGCACAGAAAATCTCTACTTTTATTTCTCTACCCTCATTTCTGGTGTGTGTCTTTCATTCCTTCAATTAGATTACTTTTAACAATCATATAACAGCGAAGCCAGAAGAAAGACACAACGACCAGGTCCCAGCTGCCCACTGAAAACCAGTGATAGTGACCTTTGATGACCAGTGAGAAGTTTCCATCCTTGAAGGCCGTGGGGTTGAGGCCGACCCTGTTCTGGTTGTAGGAGTTGTAGATCCTCTGGTCCCCCGCCGAAAACATGTCCACCACCCTCTCGACGGCGTAGTCTGGCTCCTCCCGGTACATGTCCCAGTGAACCACCCTCTGTCTGTCCATCACCTTGTCGATGGTCCACACCATGCGTGTGCTCACGCACTGGAGCACTATCTTTGACCCCGCGGGGGCACTGACATTGTAGCCGGCCACCACCACGCTGCTGCTGCTGCTGCCGTCAGACTGACATGACACTGAGGGGCAGACAGAGAGAGATATAGGGACTCACGAAGAGGTCCAGATGTGAATCACAGCTGCGCACTCCAAGCACAACATACCTGCAGTGAAGAAGCAGCCTGCAGAGACTGAAATAGAAGCAGTAGAAGTGTTAATGAGGCCAACATACACACAGACATTTTCTGGTGAAAATGAATGTCTATACATACATACATATATAAAGTAAAAACTAACTAATTAGATCTATAACTGGAAGAGGGAGTAAACAGTTTGTGTAGCAGCAGGTATGTGATACACTCTGGCATTTCATCTGACAAATATGAGTACAGACTGAGTAGGCCAACTTTTATTCTCAGCCTGGAAATGAAATAAAGAATATTAGATAAAAGAAAAGAAAAGACTATTACAAAAAAAAAAAGTAGGCTACAGTTATAATTGCAAAATACTAAATCCACTTGATGTATGAAAGAGTACACAAAGCAGTGAGTGTTCAATGTACATGTCATAAACACTTCTCATAACAAAGACTGCTGGGCTTCAGCCTACTTACTGTGGATCAGGAGGAGAACCCGAAGAGCAACGTCCTCCCTCATCTCGTTGTTTCTTCTGTTTGCTCAGATTTTTGGCGTTCTTAACGTCTGACCGGCAGAAAAAACAACCCCGTGAAGGCAACAGGGTCCGTTTTGTTCACATTCACAACAAAGGCATCGCGCAGATCCCCGAATCCGAACCAAAACAGGAGCAAACGGGACTGATCCCGGTCGGGGAAGTGAAACTCGACACCGCCCGGTACCCCTCCTCTGACTAACCATCACACTGACTTATTACAGTACAGCCTCTCAGGAGATACATTTGCTTTCACAACCTTCAGATTTCTTTTCTTTGGCAGTTAAAAAGAGGTTGTTAACCTTTCTTACATGATGACGTACAACTATAAAGGGGTTAGATTCTTCTCTAATTCAGGAAAATAGATGTTGTATTGTTATCTGAATTGGCGTTAAAGAGCATATATGAATTCTTGTCTAATGAAAAGCTCACTCTTGAGCTTTGTGGTTGTGGTAGAATGATAAAACTGTGTTATTCGTGTTATGGAAAATGATTTACTTTTGTGGTCTGCAGGATACCTGAAGGGCCAAAAACAAACATGACCATAAAAGGAAAAACATACTGTTTTAAAGGAAAGGTGATGCACAGCAGTTCCTGTTTTACAAAAACTGTGTTTTTGTGTCCTTCAAATATATTTTCAAAAGTAATCATATTTGGGTCTAATGAAGAACTAGTACCCTAACCTGTACGTTCCTCTCTGGATCGATGGATTTCTCTGAGATGTGAAGGCTGCCAATGATTGCAGAGTGCACAATGATGCACCTATTTATTTTTATTTTTCCTGAAAGGGCTTTAACTTTCCTTTCTGCATGGCACTATGGTGGAATATTCAACATCTTTGCAACGTTATGCTGCCACACAAATTTCTATAACTTAGCCTTTTTTTTCAACATAATGGAATGTACAAAATGCCCTTCTTGATCTCAGAGAAAGTTTTTGCCTCTCGACCTTGCATTCATGACTTGAAAGATAGGAGGATTTGGAGGAAGAGTGGCATTTTAAGACTCAACACCCCAATTTATTAAATCTGTTCTAAAGGAGCAATATACAGTACATACAGTATCTATATTAAAATGTATGTATATATAATTTGATAATCCAGAGTAGTTATAATTCTTATTGTGGGTGTTAACATCATTTTACTTAATGTTGCATTAAGTAAAAACTCATTTGACTTTGGGCACCTCATAGACTTTGGGCACCTCATAGAATGATTTACTTGAACCAACCTATACACCAGTGTCCAATCATTAAAAATACTTTGACATTTTTCCATCATCTAAATTTCTACAATTATTGTGTTTCCTCATCTTGCAGCAAAGGAAACTTTTACAGGCTGGTGCGTGTGCTCTCTCTTTTAGCTTACGGTGACCCTCAGTGGCTGGTATCCTCAATAGCATACAGAGGGCTGTGTTACATGTTTTCTGTGCTGAACTTTTGTTTCCTCTCTAGTCTACATTTTTCTTTTTTCAAGAGAGAAAAAGTATAGCTCAGAAAACAAAGTGGGATCATTTGTTGAACCCCTTCTATTTATAGAAATGATTAAATAAAATAATTATAGAAAATATTATGTTAACAGACCATATTGCACCGTTTTTACTAACTTCAGTTTTTTACCAAGGATTCTTTTTTAAAGATCTTTATTTTCATTTATTTAATCACTTTTCTTGACTTTCAACACGGTTCACAGCGGAACCTTGGTTTCTTTCGTGTTGACATCCAGCGGGTTTAGGTGTTACACCCTGATACTTCTCCTGAAACAAGCGAACTCATTCAAGGTTTTTTAGCTGAAGGTAAACGACTCTTCCAAGTTGAATTAATCGAAATAATGTGTTCAGATCGCGAAGAACTGTTATTGAAATGATCATTAAACTTCTTAAATATTGAATTTAGCCTCAGTCGAGATTTAACATTGAGTTGTTTCTTTAACTGCCTGCGCTAGTTAGCTAGCATGCTTGCTCCTTGTGGCTGCTAACTGTGCTAACTAATCAACCGGTTGACAAAGCAAACTCAAAGTTTTGACCTTATTGCTGTTTGTGGTTTTAAGACATATATTAGTCTTATGATATTTGCTTTTCTGTGTTTACAGGTCCCCTTTTGAACGTATAAAGATGTTTTTGACCAGATCTGAATATGACAGGTAAGTGCTGCACAAACTGCTTTGTCATTTATTAAGCGCAAATCATCGGATCTCAACAAACCAATGTGAGGACCGTGGTTTTCATTTTCACACAGAGGGTGATTAAATTTGACCCATAAAAAACAAAGGAAAGTCTCCTTTTATTTATTTTCTCGTGCATGTGTTGTTCCGTCCGTTAGCCAACAGCTAACACACTCCTGTGTTAAAGGAGAAAAAGTTGCTGGACTTTCACTTTCGTTATCAGTACGTTTTTTCATTTGATTAAACCTTTATTTCGCCTCTGATACACAGGTATTTTTAAGCTCGCTAAAATGCTGCCACGGCAATAGCACCTGATTTTTCATAGTCTGAATACAAATATAAACCATCATCGATAACTTACAAACCAATTAAATAAAAGACTATAATTTGTGTGTTTTTTTTATTTGCAGAGGTGTGAACACTTTCTCTCCAGAGGGCAGATTGTTCCAGGTTGAATATGCCATAGAGGCAATAAAAGTGAGTGCTGAATCTTTCATATTTTTGTGGGTAATTGGATATGAAAATAGTTTCATTCAACTTCATTGGTCTGGCTTTGCTTTTGCAGTTGGGCTCCACAGCCATCGGCATCCAGACATCAGAAGGAGTTTGTCTGGCTGTGGAGAAGAGGATTACTTCTCCATTAATGGAGCCTAACAGCATTGAGAAGATTGTGGAGATCGACACTCACATTGGTATGTAGAGACATGAGCAGAGCTATCAGAGAGACCCGTTTGCTTTCAAATCCGTGGAATCTTTTTTGATGGAATATACCAGTTCATTCCAAAAGTGTAATTTGCTTTCTTTATCATTTAAATTAGATTAGATTACAGTATTAACTTATTAAATTACAGATGCATTAGAACCAAAAGCCTAAATTATATAAACAGGTAAACAGTTAGTTTTTCAAAGTGTTTTAGAATATTTGATAGATATATAGAATTACAATTTCCAAGTGTGTATGTATTAAACATATAAAAGAGAAAATGAAGGCCTGAAAAATAAAGAATGCACTACTAAGGAAAAAGCAGCTGGGTAAAATTAGATAACTGAAGATAAATGTTCATATAAATGTCCGGAGGCTATGGCATCCTCTTCCCTTAAATCCATAATACATACAGTAAAAAATAAATTGTACCTCATCTTGTCACAAACAGGTCTTAATATATGGTCAGTACAAGCTAAGTTAAACAGCAAACTTGTCAAATGTTAGAATGTTTTAGCATTTTTAGGTGGCTGAGGCTTTGTGTTTAAAATATTTTAATTAAATTCTTGATTAAGTGGCCTATAGTGCTACCTATTGTAGCTAAATCTGGTTATGTGAAAGTCTGACCATCTCAGATTTTCACATAACTGTTGACCCTCTCTTCTTTACAATGTCTGGTTTGAAATTTGAAGACATCTGTTCATGGACAGCTTTCTGGGACTCAGTATACTGGCGATGCATCACTGAATTCTCTGATTTATGGTTTCTACTTTGCTCCAGTGGAGATTTGTACTGTCTGAATCTCAGAATACAGCTCAACAGCTGTTGACGGCTAAAAGGAAATAGGAATATCACTGTCGGTCCATTGAGACAGCATGTCAACTTGCAACCTTTCCAGACTCATGTTCTGCTCTAATTAAATTCTGATTTTATATTTGCAATGTCTTCTGGCAAACCCCCCCCTTCAGTTAACCTAACCAGTATCTCCGCTGCACTCACGGTGCTGACGCCTCAAACAGAAAATTAGAAACCGCAAAAGCTTACATGTGTGCATATCTGTCCTCAAAAGTTTCTGTTTGTAGATATTAGAAAATTCCTTGAACTTTAACAGTGTTATACCATGCCTTTTTAAGTTTTTCTTTTTCACATTCTTGCACAGTGAAATTTCTTGACATTTCTCCCAGTTTGACGGTGCTGGTTGTTGACTTAGAACACAGTATGTGCAGGACCCATGTGGTCTTTAATATTCTCTTTTCCTTTCAAGGTTGCGCTATGAGCGGCTTGATAGCTGATGCTAAGACCCTGATAGACAAAGCAAGAGTGGAAACACAGGTATAGATTCTCCGCATAGTAGAAGTTGAGCAGCATTTCTTGGCGTGATTTCAAACTGTGGGTGCCTCCTTGCAGAACCACTGGTTTACTTACAACGAGACCATGACCGTCGAAAGTGTGACTCAGGCTGTTTCCAACCTGGCGCTGCAGTTTGGAGAGGAGGACGCAGACCCGGGTGCGATGGTCAGTCACTCATCAAACGTCCATGCTTCACAGCTCACATGCAGACTCTCCGGCGGCGGTGTGTAAAGCAGTAGAAGCTGGATTCACAGCTCCCTGCTCTCCTTTCTCTTCTTTAGAGTCGACCCTTTGGAGTTGCGCTGCTCTTTGGGGGAGTTGATGAAAAAGGGCCACAACTGTATGTACAGATAATAACGTATCCTTTAAAGGTATAGATGACTGTATGGTATCATTTACTGGTAGATTGACTTTTCTTTGTGTAATCCAGCTACCACATGGACCCGTCAGGAACCTTCGTGCAGTGTGACGCTCGGGCCATCGGCTCTGCGTCAGAGGGAGCACAAAGCTCTCTGCAAGAGGTCTACCACAAGGTACTGACACTACGCCGTCATATTTGAACTTCAAGTGCCTGCAAAACACCCAGATTTTTTTTTGACAGATCTGGAACTTTCAGACTCTGTTGTTTTTGTTTAAGTCTATCTGAAAATTTTTTAAAGTTCTTTTCATAAATGGCTTTCAAGATAGAACTCATGCACCAAGACAATATCATGAGAACACATATGACATCTACTGCTGTGTTGTGTAAAGAAAGCTCCAGTCCTTTGCTAACTGTCAGTGAACTCTTTTTTTAGCATTTGTTTTGCATGAGCATCAGACACTATACTTAGCCTTAAACTGTAAGTGGAAAAGCTTGTCACAAATGGGCCTGAGATGGACAGTCCCCCTGATTGTCCACTGGTTTGAACTTTTTTTGGAATACAAGGAAAGTCAGCCATAAAGCTGAATTTTACCGATGATTTCCCCTTAAATGTTTACACATCTGAGCTCTAATGTAAAGCTAAATATGAAGCAAATTGGTTCACAAAAAAAATGAATATGTCATAACAATAAATTGAATAGGATGGCTTCAGCTTCCTTCATCAAAACATTAGAATTTTTTCCTGCCTGTATAGTGAGCTGTTTTCCCTTTGCATTCTTAACCAACAGTCAATGACATTAAAAGACGCCATCAAATCATCTCTCACCATTCTGAAGCAAGTGATGGAGGAGAAGCTCAACGCCACCAACATTGAGGTTTGTTCATTGTTGACTTTTCAACTATATTACCACACCGTGTTGACCCTGGAAGAATGGAGTAGTGCATGAAAATCAGTATGTTCAATTGGGTCTGTGTTTTGTGTTTATGTCTGTATGGAGAGGAGGACAAAATAGCATCTCTAGAGGTTTGAATTTGCACAGGAATGCCAGTATGAAGCTGTTTGTCTGTGTCCCCTTTGCAGCTGGCAACAGTAGAGCCTGGTAAAACTTTCCACATGTACTCCAAAGAGGAGCTGGAGGATGTAATCAAAGACATCTAGAGTGGAAAAGACTTGGTTTGAAGACTGGGCTGAAGAGAGGACGCGTTAGTGAACACGGGCCTGGTGTCAAAACGCAACCACAACTTTCCCACAACCTGCTGCAATCACAATTTTTTGGAGGTTTCTATTTACAAAGTGGTAATTTGCCTCTTGTCTCTCAGTGTGTGTGCATCTCTGTTTAGGAGTGTATAACTGAGTGGCAGGAATAACGATGGGGGGTGTCGGGGGACTTTTTTTGTTACGGATCAGTACCACAATTAAACTGTTATATTCAGAGAATGATGACCTGTGTTTTTTTTGTGTGTCTCTGTGTAAAATAATTTACAATAGGACACACGGGTGTTCGGAGACTATTTCAATCTACATTCAGCTGCTTTAACCTGAAAAAACAAACATGTTTTAGAGAGACCATTTTAGTCCACTGCAGTTCACACTGAGCTGTTCTATCCTGCAGGTTAGTAACGCCTAGAAGATGAAGTCACACCCTGACTGTAGATGTAACTGTTGGCACACATAAACCATTTTTATTGGACTATTTTGAACTAGAACATGAGAACAAGCATTCCCCTTTTAAGATGGAATGCTGAAATCTGAAATTGATGCAAAACATAAAGGGGGAAAAAAGTTCTGCACAAAGATTAAAATTACTACATTTTCTTGTTTTTAATAAACTCACAACCCTGCCATGTTTTACAGAGCAGTTGTTTAATGGGTATGAATGCAAGTATTTGAAACTAAGTTAATTAAGGAGTACTTTTTCACAGTCGAACAGTAAACCCATCCCGCTGTGGAAGGCAGCTCTTCCGGCTTTCCACGGCTCCTTGGAGAATAAACCCTACTTTAATTACGCCTCAGCTGGTCTTGGCGCGGGCTTTCCGCCAGGGGGCGGTGCGACTCTGAAATAAATTCAGTTGAGGGCAAGTCCCGTCGTCCAATAAGATTGCAGGTTATTCTAGTCCTGGCCAATCCCGTGCTACGGTGGATGGGCCGTTATCGAGGATGCTTCTGGTGATGAGGGGGGCATGTGGAGTCTACAGGAGGGACAGTGGAGTTTCTCGCAGCGTCCCGAGTTGTGCAAGTTTCCCCCCACCATGGTCTTCGTGGCTTGCGTTTTGGCGCTCGGGTCGTTTGTCGGGTTGTTTTCGTCCTCGGTGGGCCGGCAGCCCCTGGAGGGACTGAGCTTCTCCCGCTTGAGGAGGCTGCACCGGGAGTTTGGTGGTGATGAGGAGCGGTATGGTTTAGAGAAGACGGAGCCGCGGGGAGTGAATGAACAGACGTGCACGGCTGTGGCCGGACTCCAGTCAGCCCTGCAGAACAACACCAGCACGGTAAGCAGCCTCTACTCCTCTTGTTTCCTATCCGCGCGAGCGAGCAGAAAGGCGGGTCGCTTCTTAACCGTTTTGGGGGTAAACGGTTTTAAGTCAAGACCTGCCCCCCCCCCCCCCCCCCCCCCCCCCCCCAGAGCAAAACCAGCCGGCGACTCTGGGAAAAAAACTTTTTTTTGTTGTTGCAGATGTTTTAAGTGGAGTCATGTCGAACAGCTTTCCACACTTCTGGATGTGGGTCGTGTTTCATATCAGGAGGTTCAAAAGGTGATTTGAAACAAAGGTAGAGAGGCAGGAAAGCAGAACATCTGCCATAAAAGCCCGAAGAAGAATTCAGGTGGCTCAAAATGTGGGTTCATGCTAGCTACATTACATATCTACACTTTCAGGCAGTCTTTAAATGTTTTTTTTCTCCAAAAGTTTTAACACTAAATAGAATAAAAGAAAATCATTGCTGTAACACTGGTTGAAAAGGAAGCACTTATTAGATTTTTAAAAACAGGGAGACTTTTTTAGATGTCTTTTCCAAGGATTTCCTCTATGAATTATTTGGTTAGATTCCTGGTTAATCAGTTAACTCTTTTTTTTACTTGTAATGAATCAATTTGCTTTTTGAATAATTAATCTGAACAGTGCTGCAAAACCTGCCGACATCCAGCCTTTATGTGGGGAAGTGATGTTTCAAATCCTCCTGCTCTGTTATTTCTTAGGCATAATTTGGGCAAGTTGAATCCCGAGTGCCTCTGCACACTTAACGAACAAACAAAAACCTAGTAAGTGGTACGGCTAGCCGTTCTGTGCTAAAAACCAAACCCTCAGGCAAAAGTACTCAAGCAGTCAACATCCAGATTGATGCGTTTTCTGACCGTCCGTCAGTGTTTGTTTAATTGATGGGGGTAAATGTAGGGCGCGGGTGCAGGTCACGTCTATTATCCCTGCTGACCCCGGGTTGTCATGCTCTGATTGACTGATGATGCAGAGTGAATGGAGAATGCCATTCTTTGAGGTTCTTCTGGGGGTTTGTACCTCGGATGGAGATGAAACAGCACAGAGGTTTAAAGTGTCGACCCTCTCCTTTGAGAGACCAGAAAATCCGGCCCTTGCTGCGCCCAACAGTGAGCCTGACGTCCAGCGGAATGTCCGACAACAACAGCTCCGCCTGACGCTCCGCCGGACGGCCTCCCTGTTGCGAGCCAGATGTAGGAAGGGGCTCTTGCATCATTCCTGTGGCGCCGACACCTGGGCTAGTTTTTCGTGCGTGAAAGTGTTGGAGCTCGGTTTTCAGAGGCTCCTCCCAGGCTCCCCTGGGCCTTTGTAGCCGTCACTAACATTCCCCTCGTTCCTCCGTGGAGCCCGGTCTGACAGCGGCCCAGTGTCTGAGCAGAGCTTTGTCAGAACGGCGGGGCGAGATCAGACGCATCACGGGAGGAATTTAAACCTGTTGTGTGTTCTCCCTGTTATCCAGATGCCTGTGTAAATAAGCAGACCCCCTCCTCCTCCGGGCTAAGCTTCCCGGGCCCTCTCGGCCCTGATAGACTGCGCAGTGTTCACTCAGCCAGGCAGCCCAGGCCGTCCGGTTTATTTGTGAGAGAGAGACTCATTTCGTCGACTCTGACAGGTTTACAAACTGGCTTGTTGTCTCTTTTTTCCCCTCCTTTTTTTCTATTCTTTTTTTTTTTCAGTCTCCATCCTGTCCTCTATCCCCTTTGGTCAAATGAAGGGAGAGGGAAAAAAAACAAGCTGTTTTTTCATGGTAAAGGATAGCTGGGTCACAGCCAGCTGCTGGAGAACCATGAGAAGCAGCAGAGTGTGTGTGTGTGTGTGTGTGAGAGAGAGAGAGACAGAGAGCAAGAGGGACATGGAAACTGCTTTGTTGATGCACATGGACAGACGTCCACTGAGAATGGGCAAACAAGGACAAATAAGACATCCTGTATAGCAACAGGAGTAGCCATGTTGGGGCACAGTCTACTCCTAGTTGCTAAAGAGGGATCCTGAGTGGGTGACACACTGAGGAAACGTTATAGAAAAGAGTGTCATACCCCTCCTTTTCATGTCCTCTAATCAAGGACTCAGTCATGAAAATAATGGGCATAATTCCCGCATCCACATTTTTATGTTTTGCCTTCCTTTTTTGAGCTGTAAAGGTTGAAATGATTTAAATGTGATAACCTGTTACATTCATTCAAAATGCATGTATGGTCTGGCCTCCTTTAAAAAGACCACAGGGTTGCGTTGGGCTAGTTACCTTAAGATAAGTGGCATGTTTTGAAATGGCTCTCGTCGGCACATATCTGGCTCAATTAACAAATGAAAAACCATCGACGCATATCTGACTCCATCCCCAAGATAACAGTTTAATTGGTTTTCAGATATAACTCATAGTTTTTGAACAGCGATCGTTGCAGACATGTCCATTTGTGGCCCCTGTAACATATTATGCATATATTATTATGTATCTATATTTTAAACTCAATATCTATCTATAAATCAAATATTTAGAACATTTGTTATTATATGTTTATATAAGATGTTTTTCCCCATCATTTGTGTTTGCAATATCTGTTTCTTTTTTCAGTTTCTCTATCATTTTTTGTTGTCTTTATTTAAAAAAACAGATGTCATGAGATACATATGATCTTCTGCCATACACTTCTCTTTAGATGCCGTTGGTGTGTGTTTAAGGTTTGCACAGTCGTAGGAGTCCTTTAGTGCACGTCTGTTTTCTTCTGCCACTCTTCCACTTGTGAGGCCGCAGCCCGTGTCGGAATTAAGTTTTTGACAAACTAGCTGCAACTTAAGCCTAAAGAACGCTGCTCCACTCCGCAGCAGCAGCACCACCCCCTGAGACTGTGAGGAACAGTGGAGGAGTCAGAGCAGACACCATCCCTTTGTTTCCTGCTGAATGCTGTGAGATAATATTATCATATAGATTCATGTCAGACTGCATGTGATGTGTTCGGAATGACCTGACCAACAGATCTGAGTTTTCTGACCAGATATAAGCACATTGGAAATAATGAAGTCAAATTACATGTCAAAACATATCCTAAAAATGTTAACGTCCACCAGATGATTGTTCAGATCAGCAGGAAGAATCTGCTAAATCATGAAGGTTTTTTGGTAAAACCACACAAAAGTCCAGTCCCTTTTGTAATGGATTGATTTATAGTTTTGCATAAGGTTTAGCATTTGAAGATGTTTTATGATCCAGCTAACATGTCCATTTCTGCTCCACGCTTTCTGTCCCCACCCTCTCTTTTTCTGCTCGGCTTGAATTCAAATCCATTAGGACATTAATAAAAAGCCAGCATACAACTCTGCCCGGTCAGGAATGCTCAGTCAACACGGCGCTTTCACAAGTCTTTGATCAGAGCTTCAGACCTCTTCATCTGAAGTTTTGCGTGCGTCAACATGGCCAAAGCAGAAGGTTAAACCTCGCAGCAGCGGGAATAAGGGGCTCATTGTGTTGACCCCTCCGAGAGGACGTCATCCACAGTCGGCGGGTGTGCTCCAAAGCACGAGCTGTTTGGGAGTCCGCGGCCACATGCGTGCGTGTGTGTTGGCATGCTGCTGCCGGCCGCATTGTCCCTGGCAAAGTCGGAAGCGCCGGCGCACCTTGAGAGGCCGTTTTCAGACGTTGAGCTACAGAGGGAGACCGGAGACAACTCCTCAAGGCTGATCTGGGCCCCTAAACTCAGCACGTGACACAGCATGAGGTCATGTCTGGTCTGAGGGGCCGCGGCCAACTGAGTCTGGCACTTATCTCCAGATTCTGTTAGCTCACCAGCACATTACCCAGCTCTCTGTCACCCCCCACCTCAGCTTTGAGGAGAGTCAACATTTGCCAAATATAAGCACATCTCGCTTTGCACGTTCTAAGAAAAAACAGGAGTTTTCTCTCCGACACGGGGACGGTAGCCTGTTGTGTAATCACTGCTCAGACATTTGTCCAGCTGCATTTTGGATATTTGTGTCTTACTGACATAAGATGTGGGTCCATGTGAGTCCTTTTGTGCTCTTTGTGTGGTCACTATTCGTTCACTGTGCCCTCTCCAGCTGCCTGTTCTGGGTCAGCTCACCATTTTGTAGCTGTAAAAGACAACAAACAGCAATTTTTTAAAAATTTAACCTATCACATAACTTATCCTGATTAAAAAGGCCTGGCTGCAGCATTTCTGGGTGATGCTGCACCACCAACGTGCTTGTTAAACATGGTTACTTCCTCTTTGATTCACATTTTGAATCAAACCAAAGTGGATTTTGGCAGCTTTCAGGAAACACCTTGACTGACAGTAGGTTAGCTTTATTTGTTCATTCTCCTGAATGTCTTTTTTATCATCCATCGATGTCAGGTTTATTGAACTACTGGAAAAGTAGTGTTTTTTTATTTTTTAGGAAGTTTGAATGAAAAGAAAAAAAGATGAGGGCTGAGAGTTACGAGCCTGTTTCTCTGGACAGATTAAGACGGGCATAATGGGGTGAGGGATGAAAATACAGCTCAACAGCTTGTTCAGATGAGTGCAAGGGGACAAACAGAAAAGTTGAGAAACAGTTTGGTGATCAAAATAGGAAAAGAAAACAGTTGGACTCGGGCAAAGAGCGAGGAGGGATTAATGCAGGGGGCATGGAAAGTTGTGTTCACTGAGTGGGACGGCAGGGAACAGGCCGGTTTCCACCGGACTTGTTTACAAGGAGATTCCAGCCAGCAGGCAGACAGCAGACCTTGCAATCTTCCGTTGCTTTATAGAGCTGTACGCAGACTCTGCAGAGCTCTGCTCACCTTGTAAACATCTCAGCCCCTCCAGCTGAAGAGAGGAGTGGCAGAAGCCTTCCTTTAGGTTCAAAACGAGGTGGGATGTGACTCAGTGTCACAGCGCATTCAGAGTAGAAACTCTTCACACACCTTGCCTCCACTTCTATTTCTCCTTAAGTACTTTTTGGATCCATTAGACCATCAGAAGGTGAAAAGTAGGGTGACAATTTGAGCCCTCACTTGTTTGATGTCTACTTTTTGATAAGGGTTGAACGCAGTCACTTCTAATTTATGCTAGGTGTGTGTTCAACTGTTGTCCTGTTGTCTGGCCTCAGCTCTGTGATTTAGACAGGAATGTAGGTCACACATGCAGAGTGCATCCAAATGGCTGAGTTACTTTGGACAGTATAGACATTCTGTCCTCTCTATTTCCATGCCCAGTGTGCAGGAAACAGCAGAAACACACACACTCTGTCCTCTACCTTTCACTCCAGAGGAAGTATTTACACTTTAGTTTGAGACCGAACCAAGTAGTTTTTAAATTGCCCTGTGTCAGCTCACATTCATGATTGGAGCTTTTTTTTTCTTTTGTTGTTATAATTAATCACTGATTGGTTTATAACATTTCTAAAATGACGTTGACTTCTCATTTCTTTCTTCTCCTCAGTTCACGTTCAAAGTGCGAACGATGGGCTCCCTGTCGCTGGCCTGGGTGGGAGATAGATCAGGGGTGAGTGTGTTCGCATCTCTGATGGAAAGAGTGCGCGCCCAAAGGGTGGGGCGGTGGGACTCACGCCGTCTTTCATCGCAGGTCCTCCTGGTGCTGACGACCTTCCAGGTGCCGCTCTTCATGATGCGCTTCGGCCAGTCCAACCTCTACAGGAGGTGAGGATGGATGAGTATCGGTGAGGGGGTCTTAGGGTTAATCAGGGTCTAACTTCCCGCTTCTCCGTGTGTCAGTGAAGACTACGGGAAGACGTTCAAAGACGTGACCCATCTGATCAACCACACCTTCATCCAGACAGAGTTCGGCATAGCCATCAGTCCGGACCACTCGGGGAAGGTGAGCCTCATCCCGCTCTGCTGCCAGTCAGCACGTTCCCCCCATTGTTGCAATCTTCTGCTCATTTTTACTTGTGCGAATGTGGAATAAGATGCCCTCACAGATGACCCTCCCCCCCCAAAAATGGTCATAAAATGGAAATTCTGAAAATGTCTAAATTTTTGGTTTTATTTGTTTTGTTTTTTGAGGCTGTTTTCTGCAGATCATCTCTGGACTGACGTGTGTGTGTGTGTTTGAGTTCAGGTGATCCTGACAGGCGACGTGTCAGAAATTGGAGGATTTCAACTGTTTCGCTCCCAGGACTTTGGCCTGACCTTTGTACCAACCGACCTGCCGTTCGAGCCCCTCATTCAGATGCTGTACAACCCTGGGGACAGCAACACCCTCCTGACGCTCAGTGTCATGGTAAGTTAGGCACAAATGTTGACTTGCCCACGATTCTTAGCATCTTTGGCATCAGGATAGACGTCGGAATTGTCAGCTCAAAGAATATTTGAATGACTTCAGACTTATTCTTTCCAGTTGGAGCTCTGGCTGTCTGAGGACTTTGGCGCCACCTGGAGAAAGATCTATGACAGTGTGTGTTTGGTCAGATGGTGAGATTTCCCCTCCACCAGCAGTCACATCTTGTACTTAATTATAAATATGAAAGAACTGCAAATTAACTGTCTTCTTCAATAGAAATAAAGCTGTTGCAAAAATTTTGAAGCGGCTTCAAAGAAAGAAGCGTCCAAAATGAAGTGATAGATAAAGTTCATGTTCATGCTGGCCTTCTCTTCCTGGATGACTGTAAACGTTTTACAAGAACTGTGGGCAAAGCTCTCTGTAAAAACTGTTTGGTTATCCTCACTAACAGTAAATGCTTTCTATCAGGAAAAAATGGAAAAAATTACGTTTGCGGATTTTAATGTTACAGTTGTGTTTACCTTTAATGGTGATTTAACTAGAAGAAACATCATCAGAAAGACAGGAGCTGCCAGCAGCTGCTCAGGCGCTCCCAAAAGCAAGAGGAGTAACTTGAGTTACTGAGTGTTTCCTTATTTAAGGCCATTTTGAATCAACACATGCATTTGACCACAAAATGAGTTTAAAAAGCACGAAAAGTAGAAATAGATAGAACAAAAATTCAAAATTGCTACTTGATGGTAAATGATTTTTCTGAACTCCATGTAAACCCCTAAGAAAATATGAGGATCCTTACCTGTCTGTCCTGGATGGTGAAACAGACGGTGTTTGGCCGTGAAACGGGGGGGCTGCTTCAGAGGAATCATGCCGTTCGTGCATGTGTGATTGGAGCAGTGTGCGCTGACCATCACTTCCTCCACGTTTTCACACAGTCCACATATTCATCTTTTATTTTGCCGAGAAAGGAATTTGTGTCTTGCGTGTGCGCCGTTGTTGTTCCAGCTGCTCTGCTGCCCACGCTTCGTTTCATTCTCCCGACTCGGAGTTCACACAAGGTTGTGGGCCCGTAACGCTGTGCGTCTGAGTGACCACAGCAGCCGTTTCAGCCTCAGACTGAGCTAACTGCACAGAGCTGAGCTCGCTGTCAGCCGGAATCACCACTCACAAGCAGCAGCATTCTCACTCAGCCCGCAGCTCTTCAATTAGCAGAATCTGTGTGAGCGGTGTGAAAACCGTCTCCCCATCTGGCAGCTAACAAAACCAGGGCGAGCTTGGAGTGCAGGCCCGGGGTTAATGTGCGCCTCGCTGACACGGCGACTTACAGACAACTTTCAGATGGTTGAAAAATGTGAGGGTTGAGATCTTTAACTGCCTCTGATTATTTTTTTTTATGGATTGTCTTCCAGGGGCCCAAAGAACAGCATCTACTTCACAACCAACAACAACGGCTCCTGCAGTAAGTTAGAAAAACACAATCCAACATAATTCACATTGATCACAGTCAGTATGGACGTTACCTTTTCCCTTTCAGGTGACAAAGGAATGTTAAAATTAAAGAAAACCCTTGACTACGGCAGAAGTTTTAAGACGATCGCTACCAGGGTCTACTCCTTTGTTCTGGGAGGAAAATTTGTCTTTGCCTCGATCATGACAGGCACGGTATGTGTGTGGTGCTCGCCTTTTACTCTCCTCTGTGTGGGTGTCTCTGCCATGTGTATCTGAATCCATCCAGCCTTCTCTTCCTGTTTATGGTTTTGTGACTTCTTTTGTTTATAAGATACATCTTTAATGACTTTGTTGTCCGTTTCCTCTCTGTTTATTGTAAGAAGGGGAAAATTTAGTGGGTCACTTCATTCATAATCCCAAACACCTGCTTCTTGATTAAAAACATGCAGAAAAAAAGTCTGTTGTAAATAGGCAGTCTTTAGCTCTGTGTTATGCGGCATAAGTGGGAACATATGACAGGTGTCAAGACTTGGGTTTGGAATTGAATGTAGCATGAATTGGTCTGATTGTGTCAGTCAGATTTGCAGTACTCATTATTCTTTACATATTTGTTTGTTTTGCTTTACAACCTGGTGAATTTTTCTTAAATATAACCATTTACATGCAGATGTAACAAAGTTCATGCAGTTAAATGTGGATCTAATCAACACATGATGTGATCTTGGTCTTTATACCCTGAAGCATCTGTGACTTTGCCATACTGTAAAATAGCTTATTGATTTTTTTAATCAAAGCTTTTTGAAATGCATACGAAAGAAAGTTCGATCTTCCTTTAAGACAGATTGGGTCACATCTGGACCTTGAGGGCCGCTGTCCTGCAGGTTTCCCTGCTTCAACCTGTGCATTCTAATCTGAGAGGAGAATGAAAGAAATGGAATGTTTAAACCATGTGAAAATATTCTTGGTGGACGCATGGTGAGGCATCATGTTGTGGGGTTGTCCTTACCCTGGGAAAGTAGTCCATTGAAATAGTGTGTGGCTTTAGATAAAAGAAACTCCTTAGGTTTGGCCAAACAGCGACCCTAACTATTTTGCTAAGACAATACTTTGATTTAAGGGAACAGACTTAAATGTTTTGGGATGGCTTGGTGAAGCGCAGACCTCAATCCGACTGTAAATCTGTGGAATCATCTGAGGAAGATTCCTGTACACGAAGCAGATGGAGCTGTTTGAGAGCAGTTTTCCAGATGAATTGAAGTTCAAAACATACTACAAACAAATTTCAGCTGTTTCATTTGTTCATTTAGTCTTCAAGAATTTATTTAGGGATTTAGAAAAATTGGCTTTTAAATTAGCTTCAGCTCCCTTGGAATAGGACCGTACAAACACAAGTAATCCAACAAAAGAGATAGAATTTACCTGTTACTGTGTTCAGATACATTTTCATGCCTTGGGCTTTGTTTTTTAGCTGTTAAATGTTTTGGGTCTTTTGAAGGCAGAGGTCAGAGGTGATGGTGGATCATCTGTCTGGGGACCACAGCAGCCCTCTCCCATTGAACAGCACCTTGTCAGTCATAGAGAACCCCCTCCCCAATGCATACCCTGCTGCTTTTTTGTCTGTTTTACTCTAAATAGGACCGGAGGTCCCTCAATTTTTTGTATTGTGCTTGGTCAGATTCAAATATTAATCCCCAATCCACCAATTGTTTACCAAGTCCATGAGTCAAATGAGAAGTGGAGTCATTTTCCCACAGATTTGTTTTTGCAACCTACTAGAGTTCTTATTCCATTACTCCAATACTTTTTTATTAAATGTATCTTTCTGTGATTTGTTCCAGTCTGTACTGGTGTAGATTAAAGTCATGCATGCAGATCTTTATGTCTGTGTGTGTCAGGGCACGGAGCGTATGATCCATGTCTCAGTGGACGGGGGTGAGCAGTGGAACATAGCCCAGCTCCCTACAGTCAACCAGCAGCAGTTTTACTCCATCCTCGCAGCCAATCAGGACATGATCTTCATGCACGTGGATGACCCCGGAGGTCAGTAGTAGTAACCCTAACATGTGGACAGTGTTGGTTGTTTTCTAATTGTGCTGTAATTTCTAAAAATTGGAAAAGATAATGGAATCGGACTGATGTCCTGTGGAATCAGTTAGCATTTACACGTGTGTGTGTGTGTCTGTGTTGGTACGGCGTGGAGCAGATTCCGGTGCTGGAACTATCTATGTGTCAGACGACCGAGGGACCGTGTTCTCCAAGTCTCTGGAGCGCCATCTCTACACGACCACAGGGAGCGACACAGACTTCACCGTCATCGCCTCACTCAGAGGCGTCTACATGACCAGCGTCCTCTCAGAGGGTGGGTTCAGACATTTTTTACCTGCAAATGCAACACAGGACAGTCCTGCTAGTCAGACAAAACTAGCCCACCTTCTTCATCAGCTTCTTTGCAAGTTACATGTCACAATTTGAATATATTTTTTTATTTCAGGAACAGGATGTTATTCAAATTCGGAAGCTCCAAGCAAAAGTAAAGCTTCACTTGGGGCAGTTTGAAATTCTTGAATAGTTTTGACAGTATTGGTAAAATGCTGGTAAATTGCACCTGGCATATGTATGCACAAACTGCTCCGCCATTTTCTGACGACCATTCAGGGTCTTTTGTGATCTTCACAGCAGTAACGCTGCGCTTTTTTCTCAGACGGAGCCGTCGAGACTGTGATCACATACGACCAGGGGGCTAATTGGCAGGCGCTGCGCCGACCACAGAACAGCCAGTGTGACACGGACACCTCCACCAACAGACCTAACAGAGTGAGACACACCACTGCTGACATTTCTGGGATAACTTCCTTTTTTTTTTTAATTGTGTGAATTTTTTTAGATCTCTGCGGATCATGCAAATCTTTTTTTTAAACGTCTGTTGGCACATGCTTAGCAGCACCACTGCTGTCGTTACAGTGCAGATTTCACATCCACGCCTCCTACAGCACCAGCGTGAGGATGAACGTCCCCATGCTGCCCCTCTCACAGTCCACTGCGGTGGGACTCATCCTGGCTCACGGTAAAACACTCAAAACACAACGATCTTTCACCCCAAACATTTAGCTGAATGTTTGTTGACAGGATTTGCCTCCCTCCCTGCAGGCAGTGTTGGAGACGCAGAGTCTGCTCTCCTCCCTGATGTGTATGTGTCTGATGATGGGGGCTACACATGGCTGCGGGCCCTCAGGGGCCCCCATCACTATGCCATCCTGGATTCTGGGGGCCTGCTGGTTGCAGTGGAGCACACAAACTCACCTGTTAACCAGATAAAGTCAGAGCTGCGAATCTTGTTTTTTTTGGTGTGTTATATGTTTCATTTTGAAATTGCGCCCTTTTTTTATTTCTTCCCCTAATTGTTCCAGGTTCTCCTCTGATGAGGGGCAATGCTGGCATACGTACAACTTCACCAGTGACCCGCTTCACTTCAGCGGCATGGACAGCGAGCCTGGCTCTCGCTCCATGAACGTGAGCCTGTGGGGCTACAGGAACGACTTCAGTAAATGGGTGGTGATCACCATCGACTTCAGGAAGCTCCTGAGCAGAGTCTGTGAGTATGCGGGAGAAGGCGGGGGACGTCTGGCCCGCTGGCGCTGATCTGCTCTTATTGGAGACCGGCTGTTTGTGCAGGCGATGATGGGGACTATGTGGAGTGGCTGGCTCACTCTGCAGACCCCAGCGGATCCAGTGATGGTTGTGTGCTGGGATACAAAGAGACCTTCTTACGCCCACGGAAGGATTCCGTCTGCTGGAACGGGAGGGACTATGCAGTCACCAAGAAGCTGTCCCCCTGTACATGTACGGTGGCTGACTATTACTGGTATGTCCTTCTGCCTTTTTTTAGCCGTCCTGCATAGATCAATTATTTACCCTGAAGATGTGTTTATGATTTCTCTATGAGAACAAGATAAGCTCTTATTTTTCATCTCCCCCGTATCTGTATGCATTATTATCATTTGAAAAACGTCCACCTCTTCAGCCATCTTGTTCTTTTTTTACTTCTGTACAGTTTAAAATTATCAAATAGTTCCCAAACCTTTTACATGTGTATATAACAGTGCAGTGTCATTCAGCTGACACGCTTTCTCTTACAGTGACTTTGGGTATTTTCGGCCAGAGAACAGCTCTGAGTGTGTGCTGCAGGAGGAGATAAAGGGCCGTGCCCTGGAGTTTTGTTTGAATGGGACCACTGAACTGTTACAAACCAGTGGGTAAGAAATGTTGGTATTTTTACCAAGGAACTTCCTAACTATGATAAATATTAGTAACCCTACTATCGCGTTCAACAAATTGGTCATTTTCCTAAAAGATCATCATAGTTCCATCTATGTAGCTTTTTTATTCTCAAGACATAAAGGCATAATTAGCAGCTGAAATCCCCTCTACTGCCTGAAAAGTGAATGGAACATTGATTTATGCATTTTCTCACATTAAAGCTATCGAAAGATTCCCGGGAACCAGTGTGAAGGAGGTTTTCAGCCAGCCAGGAAGGAGACCGACTTGAAGAAGTTGTGCACCAGCAACGCCCTGCATCGGAATTCTTTGGTTGGTTCTGCTCACACTTACAAAGCAACCAGGCAAATAATTGCACTTGGTGGATGGATTGAGATATAGATGCATGATGGGCAGAGATTACCAATGGTAATGAACTCTGTAGCAGAAAGTGATGTCAAAATAGCTCCTGGGGGTGTGTGTATGTGTGTTTGTGCGTGCACCTGAAAAAAAATCTCATTTTCATTTTTTCCACTCTGTCTGTCTCTGGAAAAAGACTGAAAACGGTTCACCAAACACTGCTGTCATAGTGATGGTAGTCATAGCCTTCCTCCTGACCAGTGCGGTGGCGGGCGTCTGGCTGGTCAAGAAATATGTCTGCGGTGGACGGTGAGTCCCACACAAACACAAACACACACACACACACACACACACCTCATGACGCTATCTGCATCTCTCTGGCCTTTCTTACACTCTTCTCTTAGGTTTCTCGTGCACCGGTACTCGGTGATGAGGGAGCACGTGGAGGCCAACAAAATAGAAGGGGTGGATGATGTCGACACTCAATACATGGAGACAGAAAAAGCACAATTTAATGAAGATTCAGATCAGGTGTGTGATATCTGATCAACTGATTTTTGTCATAACTTCTTTTGTAAATCTACAAAGTTAACTATCTTGTTTATGTCTCCTCATAGGACCTCTTAGAATAACTCCAGGGTTTTGACGATGCCTGGGCAAGCCTGTTGGTCCCTCTTGCTGATTAACATCTGCTTCTCACCTCTCAGTGTCCCCTGGTAGCTGGAGGACAACAGCAGGGTGACTTCTTACTTTGCTTCCTTGAACTAGTTAACGCTCCCACAACTGGGAGGGGAAACACATCTGCTGTGGAACAGAGGACAGCCTCTTTGCTCCCCGGAGAGATTTAGTTGTCACTGTCACCGAAAGTTCTGTAAGGGTCACTGAATGTGAACGTGGGCTCTGTTTTTCCTTCCTGACCTGAGAAGAGATGGCCTTTGCACCGCAGACACCAAACATATAATATAACCTGGATATGCAGAGCTATCACACAGTTTTTGCAGAAAAAAGCTAAATAACACAGAAAAATCATTTGAGTTTTTGGTTTTTCTTTTCACTGTTTTTCTTGCCAAAAGCAGTCCTGTCACAGGTAGAGGGCCATTTAAAAATACTCTTGACTTCTTTCACCAGAAACTAAAAATAAGCAGGAGTGGACATGTTTTTTTAAAAAGAGGGTTGCCTTTCTAACTTAAACTACAGTCAGTTTAATTTCGGTGGCTCTGTTTTTACCAGAGACTCTATGGAGCTGTGCAGGAAGTGGGGAAAGGGGAAAATAATGTCATTTTAGAAACAAACAATTTGGTAATGATACAAACTCAAACATATGAAAGCCTAGTTTAGATTTTACAACTAAAATATTTTTATACTAATGAACCAGATTCCTCATTTTTCTCCATCATTTTGTATGTTAAATGCCTTTCTCTTGAGTCCACTTGAACCGGATGAAATTAACAATCAAATCTATTCAAAATGTGAAGGTTATCAAAAGAAATGAAAGATTTAGAGAAGTACAAAGAAAGTTGCAACTGCTGAGGTACAAAATGATAATTTTTAGGAAAATTCATATTTTCTATAACCAAACAGATCCACAATCAAAGTCAAGTTAACTTTATGTCTTGAAGATATATGTAGACAATTCTCTAAGCAAAAGAGTGGCTGTCTTTCACATAAATAAAAAAGACAACACCTACCAATGGCTGTAATAGGGATTTAATTTTAATTGCTGTTAATTTCAGATTACTACAAATGTAATTTTTCTATACATTTTATTCCACTGTTGTGACACAATTAAATAAGAATATTAATACCTTTACACATTTTGAGTAAAAAAACACCAATTGGATAAGTAAAATGTACCTTCAGATATATTGGCAAATGAGTTTGTTTCCTAAGTTTTCTTTTTTCTATATTTGGTATCAAAGGTTTTTTATAAATGCAAATTATTTGTGGCAAGTTTTGGATTCATGGGAGAAATTGTGGTTGCCTCAAGCAGAAATACATGCTCCTACTGAAAATTCAGAATGTAGTACTGCACTGCTAAGAGCAATAAAGATGGCCATTTGTCTTATTTTCAGTGCCTAGTGAACAGTTAAATGTAACAAGTACCAACACTTTTGTGAGGATGTAAAATGTCAGCAACACATTGCAGCTTATCACAGACTATTTCTTTTACTCTCTGTATGTGTGGTTTTAAGAACAAAACAAAAATGAAAGACTTGAATTGTTGCCAAAGCACTTTTACCGTTTTTCAGATTTTTGAGGTGAGGTTGTAAAGGGGGAACCAAGCACAGCCCAGCATTATATGAGTACGAAGGTGATGTTAACAAAAGCCCTTTACTTGAACTGTCCTGTACTTTTGCTCTACATGATACACAGTATATTTCTCTTGTGTTATTCTTTGTTCTATTTGTCTTTTTTAATTGCATTTCATTGGAATGCCCCACACGAGCCAACATGCAGATTTCTAATTACCCTAAAGCATGTGCAGGCATACTCATAAATATTGTTTAAGAGCAAAACAGACATTCCTAAAAACTGATGAACTATAACTGGATACATGATCTGACAATATTATATATCCTGTTTTAGTATTTACAGTATTTATAGATTAATCATACTGATGACCACATAACTAACCTGACTTTATTAAATGAAACCAACTTAGGACTGGCTTCATTTCTACTGTCTGCTTTGTAAGACATACTGTACATTTGATACACATGCAGGGCTTATAGTTAATGCTTGTATCCTCCAGCAGAGGCAATAATATCCCAGCGAATAAGCTATTGTAATAAGCAGGCTTAGTACTGAGGCATTTTCTCATGGACTGTTGGGGTGGCCTTAGACAGATATGAAAGCAAGTTCATTTTTATTGATGCTTCCTAATTTCTTCAGCTATTATATAAGAGCAAGCCTAGCTATTTGCTGGTTTCAGTGACTTTGTTTTTGCACTGTAATTACAGATCTGTGAAAGTGTTGCATTTGTGGAACTTCTTGTACAACATTTTGTAAAATGTTAGGCCATGTGATTGGCCTCTCCCATTCCAACTTGTTTTCTTGACCGCTAGAGATGAAAATCTCTGAATTAAACAGCTCTGTAGCACAGATGTTTTGTGACAGTGTGTGCATTTTATGGATAGAAATAGCACCATCTCTTTTACATGTGTTCCCTCAATAATTTTCTGCAAACACAACAATCTGGTATTCAGAATATGGAAATTAACAAGATATTTAAGGCGAAATACATCTTTTCAGTACTAAAAAGTAGATGTAGCCACTATGAAAATGTGATTTAAAAAAACATGTTACAGAGCCCTGGTCCATGTTGTTTGAATCCTTCCCAGAGACATTCTTGGAGACCGTAGAGATGAATCATAAGCCTGTTTTCTCCAAGAACCGCCTTGATTGCTGGCAATTTATTTTTGAGAGTTGAACTGGGTCTGTGCTCAGCAGGATCTTTGGAAGTCTCCCAGAACAACATGTCATCATTCAGTTTGCCAGTTAAACCCATCTGGAGTATGTAATTCAGCTTTGTGTGAGTAATAGATTGAATAGCCCTCTTCAACCATCTAATCTTTTCCATAAGAAGCTTCATGTCCAGCATTGACTTGTAAACAAAAGGTATGTTTTTTTTATTAGATTTGATATATTCTATAAGGAAGTGTTAATATAAAGGGACACAAACAATCAAGGGAAAAGCTCATGTTTTTTATTTAAAGTGGCGGGCAAAGGTTTTGTGGGATGGATGATGATGGGTCGCCATTGCTCCACAAATGTTATGAAACCCCTTACGGCCAAGTTTATTTTTCATGTTATTACTACGTAACCATGGTGAATTCATATGGAGAGTCATTATTATTCCAAACCTCATTTTGGTAACAGATGTCAGGAATAAAACTGATTTTGCAGAGAATGTTTCATATATGACACTAAATCTCCTGTAAGCACTGTACTTAAAAGTCAGATTTGCGGGGGGTCAGTCACCTGGCAATGATGGAGTCACAGTTATCACCTTTACCTCCCCTAGAGGAGAAAAGCAGGGAAACACAGCCACTACGGGATTGGAGGGGGTTGGGGATGAGGTTGTGACATGTACCACTCTGAGAACAAGCAGAAATGTAGGACACTAACTATAACTTTTACCGTAGAACCATTCAAACTTTGTACAAGGGCGCACCAACCGATTACACTGTGTATCTAAGCAAAGAAATATATGCCTGTGGATAAATGCTGCTGTCAGCCTCAACTTTTTTGTCCATCATTATTTTAAATGCAAATCTAATTCTACACTACACACAATGAATATCCAACATTGAAAAGACTCTGGTAAGCCTTTTGTATCCCGAGTCATAATGCAATGTAAAAAGAAGCAGATGTACTAAAATCACACATTTGGAGCAGTCCCAAAGAAAAGGGGTAATAATTTTTTGCAGAACCGTGGTTCCATCATAAATGTACGAGTCTGCTCTTTGGAGATGTGTAATAAATTCACTGTAGGCATTTCTGTTAAAAGTTGAGGGGAGAACAGGTTAAAGTTCGCCCGTGTCACACTCCAGTCGCTGGGTGGCGCTGTCGCACAAACAGCGCCGTGTCGCTGCTCCGCCCCGCCTCAGCAGCGTCAGCAGCAGAGAGTTATCAGTTGCCTAGTGATGACAAACTATCGTCCGCTGTAGTTTCATGTCTGTTCAAAATCTCTTTGTGGCACTGAGCTGACTCGAAGTTTGTCACAGATTTTTTTTTCCAGATGTTTATCTTTCCGTTTCTACTAGACCATGGGACAGAATACCACCAAAACTCTCGTTTGGAGTGTCGTGTAACGTTGTAGTGCCTTAGGTCGCTACATGGAGAGTAGTAATGATGAATAATTACGTTTTCATTAGGATCGTCGGGAAAGGAAGCTATGGAGAAGTAAACTTGGTGAAAAACAAAACAGACCGGAAACAGGTGAGCAACAATTAGTGTTATGAATTCCAATATAGCCAAAAAAGAAGGATTGTACAAAAAAACTCACTTCATCCTGGTAGTGATTCCGCCGAAGTACTGTTAGCTAAACAGAAGTTAGCAAAACGTAGCTAAAACCTCAGCGGACTGGGACTTTACGTGGTGTGTTTAGTGAGGTTTGCAGTGAAACAATTGGAGCTGTCTAATACAAGGTTTGGTTGAAATGCCAGATATTTATTGACGGGAGGCTTCTCTCAAAGTAAAACAGAGAGGAATTAATAAATGTGTGTTATTTCTCGGCTAAGTCAGGTGAGCCAATTCCATGGCTCTGGACCTTTTTGTAACTCATTCTACGTTTAGACTTGGCATCGATTGAAACTGTGCTCTTATTCGGAAGTGTGTGTTTGCCTCTGTTTTTCAGTATGTTGTAAAGAAGCTGAACTTAAACACGTCCTCCAGGCGGGAGCGGCGTGCTGCGGAGCAGGAGGCGCAGCTTCTGTCCCAGCTCAGACACCCCAACATCGTCACCTACAGGGAGTCCTGGGAGGGCCAGGACTGCCAGCTGTATATTGTGATGGGCTTCTGTGAAGGGGGTGACCTATACCACAGGCTCAAACAGCAGAAAGGAGAACTCCTGCCAGAGAGACAGGTGGTGGAGTGGTTTGTCCAAATAGCCATGGCACTTCAGGTGTGGTTACTGTAACACGGTATTCTCCGAATAAAACCCAACATGTTTTCTTTACGTGAGAATGGGAAGGTTGGAATTACTGTTGCCATTTTGCCTTTCAGTATCTGCACGAGAGGAACATTCTTCACCGGGACCTTAAAACACAGAATATTTTCTTGACGAAAACCAACATCATCAAGGTTGGAGACCTGGGCATCGCCCGTGTATTGGAGAGCCACAATGATATGGCCAACACACTCATCGGGACCCCATATTACATGAGTCCAGAGCTCTTCTCTAATAAACCCTACAACCACAAGGTAGTTTGGTTTCCTGCCATTAGTATCACTCTGACTGATGGTTCAGATCCTGTACAGATATTTATTAATCCATCATCACCTGTAATAAATAGCACAGTCAGTTATTTCAAACTAGTACAAATGCTAATGTACAGCAATATAATGTCGATACACATCAAAACATAGCACTGCATTTAAAAAGTATATAGGCAATTCTATTTGAACTTGGACTTTCAGATTTATAGCCACAAACTGTTGTGATATGTATGTATAATGTTAACTTGGTTGTAACCTAATCCTGTCTCCAGTCAGATGTATGGGCCCTGGGTTGCTGTGTGTATGAGATGTCCACACTAAAACATGCCTTCAATGCCAAGGACATGAACTCGCTCGTGTATCGCATTGTTGAGGGAAAGGTTGGTTTAATATAGAAGCTTTTTTTTGTGGATACAGACACCATGTTTCCAATGTTATGTTTTCAGCCTTTAAAAAAGATGATTGTTTGTTTATCTTTGTCCTTTTTACACAAAAAATCAGGTTACTTTTGAGCGTGATATTTTTTTAAAACACATTGTCCTGTGTTTCAAATTAGCTGCCACAGATGCCTAGTCGGTACGATCCCCAGCTCGGTGATTTGATCAAGAGCATGCTGTGTAAGAGACCAGAGGACCGGCCTGACGTCAAACTTATCCTCCGGCAGCCCTACATAAAGCGACAAATTGCCATGTTTCTTGAGGCCACCAAAGAGTAGGTGTTACTGACAGCAAACTGCTGTTGTATTCCTTCTCTTTTTGAGCAATTTTCTGATAAAAAGACAAAGTTCTATATTCCATTGGGAGTGCATCTGAATATGAATCCTTCAAGATTAGACCCCTTTGGGTTTTTTTCCTTTGCTGCCCTTTTGTAAAATTTGTTTTGGTGCTAATTATTTATTTTCTTTATCTCCAGAAAAACAGCCAAGTCAAGAAAAAAATCTGTGGCTGGCAGCGGTGATTGTAGGACCAACAATGCACTGCCTGGGGCTTTGAGTGAACCGAAACCTGAGAGGCTTGCTGAGAGTCCTCAGCCTGGACATCTTGTCCGTGTGAAACGAGTGAGTAACTCCTTTTTACATTTTACTTTAACATGAAGATTTTTTTTTAACATGAATCTTATCTTGAGTTAAGCTTATCTGATGACACCTTCCTGCAAATAAAGTATGGGTATAACTAACTTCAGGGAGTGATTGAGTTTTACAACTTTTATATTTTCTTTTTTCCTTAGAAAGAAGAAAAGTCAGAACAGTGTAAAAGCCATGATGGGTTGGCAGACTTCCCTCAGGCACAGATTCTACCCAAACCATCCTCACCAGATGTTCTCAAAGTCAGCATCGCCTCCATGGCAACCGTCAGCAACATTGATATTGATATCCCCCTGCAGCAGGTTGATGATGTGATGAAGAGACAAGGGCACAGGTCCCATTCTGTTATGCCACACCAAAAACCAACCAGTGAAACCGTGACTGACAGCGCATACAAAAGCAGCCAGGGACAAGGGAAACCAGATCCCTCACCCCCTTCTTCTCCTATTAAGCCCATTCAAAAGGATGTATCAGGTAGAAGTAGCAGGGGAGGAGAAGAGAGGACATCGCCCAATGGATCAACAGACATTCAGCCACAGGCCAGACAAAAACCTGGAGAGACATTTTCCGTATTTGGAGAGAAACAGATCTTAAATATGGATCATAAGGATGACACCATGGAGCTGCTAAGAGAGGCTGATGCCCAGAACCCGAATTTAGAAAATATTGGAGTGGTTTTGGATGTGAACATGGGCAGTAAAAATGCCACCTTGGACCTCATCAAGCACACTCCAACACAGCAGCTGCAAACCTTCGACATCCATGTAAGTGGCCAAAGGGCCAAAAGAAATACTTTGCTCTGAAGTCATCAGGTATCTCTTTTTTACACTCACGTTCATGTATGTCTCTGAAGGACAACCTAGAAACGACAGAAAAGCTTTTGGAGCCTCCTCCAGTGGTAAGCATTAACAGCTCCAGTCTGTAAATGGAACTTTATTGCATGCCATTGCCATCAAATCTCATAAGCAGTGAGCTAAGACTGATTTTCTTGTGTTTGTTGCTTTTGCCACAGTGGTCAAACTGTAACCGTTGTCTGTTTAGATTCCAGTTCAGGAGGAGGCTTCCTCTGTAGCCACCGAGCAAGATCAGGTCTCTCCTTGTCCAAGTCCCAACTGCCCGCCAAACCCCTTTTCATTACAGCAACACATAGGCAAACACAAAAGACAGACACAAGGAGATAACAACAAGGTAATCAAGGATACAGGAGCTAATGTTAGGTCTCAGATTTTAGAACGTGAACAGATGTGATGTAAGGATTTCAAAGTATTTTCACTGTTTTACCGTTTCCAGGTGGCGGCTTCGAGACCTTTACCTCGACCCCCAGTTGAGAGTCTTACTGTGGAAGGGAAGAGGAAGAGAAGGAAGGCCACAGAAAGCAAGAAAGCCAAAGAGACCACAGCCTCCACATCAATTACGTCCTCAAAAGACGAGCTGTTGGCTCCACAAGTCCCAAAGGTAGAAAAAGTGGTCTCTCTTCAACCTTGCTTTGTCACTGCCCAGCCTTTTGACTTCAGGAAGACATATTTTTCCCAAAACACATTTTGATGGGCATTGGCTGTGGTCTAAACAGTGAAGATTGCATTTGTAGCTTTACTTTTGTGCTATGATTCTGTTTCTTCTAATAGCTCACGTTGGATTTGACACTACATCCAAATTATGTTAATCAGTCAGAGAAAATTAATGTCAGTATTATTTTCAGGACCGTCCCCTGTCTGCCAGAGAGAGGAGGAGACTGAGGCAGTCCCAAGAGACTGTCAGCCAGTCAGGTACTGACACACACCTCTTTTTCCAAGTGAAACACAATTGTTTTTAATTGTACAACTTAATGTACACCTTCTATATTTTAGTAAAGTTACAGAAGGGTTTTCTGCTTTTCCCAGGTGATGGTGCTTCACGAAGGGCTTCTTATGATGTCACTTCCCTAAAATCTGAGAGCCAGATTGTTTCAGTTACTCGATCTGCTTCTTATTCGATCACAGAGTCCAGCAGTAAGGTACAGACACACTGCTTACCGCAACATTAGAATGTATTTCATGCAAATAAGATGGAGAAACTTCATTGATACTCGCCTTCGAGGTCAATTATAAACTCCCTGGTGCAAATTTAGCCATGGCTAATTTGGAAAAGTCAATGGCATATGTCATCATGAAGTTAGTTGTATTTCTACAGGATAAGCTGCAGGAGCAAAAGTCTGACGAAGATGAGTGCTGTTCATCCACAAGTTCCACAGAGCGCTCAGAGGGAGACTGCAAGGAAAGGTGAGAGCATCCACCTGAGAGGCTCACCAGCAGCCATCAGTATGAAAGGGACTAGAGATAGATAATCAGGAGTGTTAGCAACATTTGTCTTTTGAAAACATTTACTTGGTGCTCCAGCACGTTGCCTCTGTAAATGTATTCTACGTCTGCTCTCTCAGCAGAAAGACTGAATCCAGTGACATGCAAGACTTGGTACATATGATGACTCAGACTTTGAGGATGGATGTTGGAGATGGCGGACCTGAGATAGAAAAAAACAGATTTGACACTGCCACACTTCCAGAATTCAAGTTGAACAGGAAGTACAGGGACACCCTGATGCTTCATGGGAAGGCTCGAGAGGATGCAGAGAACCTGTCACTTGGCGAAATACCATACGGTAAGATATATAGATTAAACTCCCATTGGTCAGTCACTTCAGGAGTTTTCTTCCTTTTAAACAACTTTGTTTGCCCCAGAAGGCTCAACATCTGGTCCAGCCAAGATAAGAAGAGTTATAGAGCACCTGCGAACAGATGTGGTCAAAGGGCTGGGTGTCAAGCTGTTGGACAAAGTGCTCGAAATCATGGAGGAAGAAGATGAGACTAAAAGAGAAGTGAGTCAAACACTTCAGACGTTGGTGTTCCACTTGTAGTCTGACATGTGTTTAGCCTATTTAAGAAAAACAAAAAAAAACAAAGTAATGAGAGGCCTTTCCCCCCCTTTTTTCAGCTGTGCCTTCGTGACCAGATGGGAGATAAGTACCAAACCTATGCTGTGATGGTGAGGCAGCTCAAGTTTTTTGAAGACATTGCTCTCAAAGTTTAAAGTGCACACATTAGAACATTTCCTTAAAATGTCAGATTCAACAGAGGCAAGCATCTTGGCATGTTTGACATTATAAGGGATTACGTATTCTTCACTGCTCAGCCATGAAATTGATACGTTATTGTTTTTTTTTTTTAAATGTCTCATGTATGAACACAGAATGAGGAATTAGTTTTATAAAGTCAAGGGTGTCTATGCAAATAGTTTGGTCAAGTTTAAAGTGTTTTTTTTTGTTTATTTGCTATAGAAACAAAAGTACAAAAGTATTTATAATGCAAGTCAGAATGTTAAAGTGGTCTAACTTTTGTCTGTCAAGATTTTACTTCTAACCTCTGCTGCTGTACTTTATTTTCTCCTCCAAAAATAATGTAAACTAGATGTAATGTAGATATTAACATTTGAATAATTTCTAATAAATCCTGCATATATTTTTTCACCAAATGTCTGCACTTTTTGAGAGCCAATATTAAATCTGGAGGTGCTGGAGGGAGGGATCTTTGGGTTTCCTAGTCCTGAAGCTGTTTCGTCCACAATGTGATTTTTGATTTGCGCAGAAAGATGAATGGCTGGATAGATGGGTGCGTAAAGCATGTATAATGTCGTTAGAACTGTGAAAGACACTTCCCATACAAAAATTTGCTTTTACAACCAGAGAGAGAATAGCTATTTATTTATTTATGCTTCTTCTTCTTGAGACTTTCCTGAGGCTTTTGGGTCAATTCCCCACTGCTCTCTGGCACAGCTGGCTGCCAAGACAGAGGATTCCTCCTGTACATAGGCCAGGGCGGCAGGGTCAACTGAAGGAAAAAGATAGAGATAGCATTAAGCGTGAGCTACAATAAGAGTGCCAAGTACTGTGTGAAAACATTGGAATCAGGAGTATGCTTCCATTTGGAGGTGTGAAAAAGTCAGTTGTACAAGTTACCACATACAAGAACAAAAACAAGAAACTTACCACACAAGACACTGCAAAACCAGCCAATACTATATACACAGTCCAACCAAACTGCTCAATGATTAGACCGTATACGAATCCAATCACCTGCGAAAACAAAAAGCAACCAATGAAGCAGTCTGAAAGGGTATACACGGAATGCAACTAAAGTGCCACGTTTCGCGGTCATGTGTCATGATGGGTTACCGCTGAGATGAGTATGATTCCTTGGAAAATCTGTTCTGCCAGCTTCTGGCCCTTGTAATCCTGTCATAATTTAACAACAAAAAGAAACAGCAAAAAGTCACGACATGACGGAAGTGAAACATCGTTCACAGGTTCATTTGAATTACACTCGATAGGCTTCCTGATCATAAGAGAACGTTTTAAACGTGTAATTCATAGTCAGGGTTGCTATTAGAAAATACATAATAAGCAACATCTAAATTAAGATAACTATGTAATGTGATAAGATATTAGATTATAAAACATGATTTGGCTTTGCAGGATTAACCGTTAGATAGCAGCTGCTATCCGTATAACCACGGCATCGTGAGGTAAGTTTACTTTAGCCGTATAAATCAATATAAATAAAAGCAGTAGCTTGTTTAAATCAAAGCATTCATTAGATAAAGACAGCCCACAATTATTCCTTACCATATGCGTGGGAATGGACTTGAACATAGACAACATGTTTCCGCTCTGAATGTACTGCTTCACAAAAAATATTAAGGCTCAAGCTAGCAAAAACGCAATCAGTTTGACTTCCGGTTTAAAAACGCTACGTCATACTTTGGAAAAAGGACCCATATGCCTATTTCCAAGTGCCTTGATTTGGGCACAGCATCACATCATAGAAGATACTTAAATAATTAAATACGTCTACCAGTTCAAAGTTACGATAAAACTTGTTCTTTGACTCGCCAACCAATTCTAAACAGCAACTATCTCAAAGCAGCGATCTTATAGAGACTTTTCAATCGGGCACACCCTCAAACACCTATAACGGCTTGTATTCGTGATTGTGGATGGGATAAACTTGTTGATGTTGAGGTGGCAGTTTGGCTACGGCATGAATTAGTCTTACACATGACATTCCATTAAAAACTGTAACGAAGGTAGCAAGATTGTAGAATTTAATCATAGTTACAAAGTTAAACTCCACTGGTTTGTGGTCACGACGGAGCGGTGCCGCAGATAAAGATACATTTAGGCAGTCAATGAACCCAGCGCGGGTCCATTCAAGTTAGCGTAGACTGGTTTGCCTTTAATTATTCCGCTTATTTTGGAACGTTTTCATTATACGTCCTGGAAGAACCGATGTCATGACACTGAGGAGAAGTGGGTCGATCGTTCTTTTCTATTAGCACAATAACTATATCTGATGTATGTGTAATCTGCCGCTGTTGTAAATAACTGCAACATCTCTCATGCCATTCACAGTAAACGCGGTTATTCTTCTACTACTGGCCGTGGCCTTCCTGATCATTGTTCAACGAAATCTTCTCAGTCTCAATGACTTTTTACACCAAGAAACCCCAGGTATGTTTATGTGCTGGAGATAAGTTTGATCTTGTTTAAATTCAGGAACCTTTGAAATCGAACTATGGTGGTCATTTGTGGATTGTCTCTTTCCAGATGCTGGTCTGATTCATCCTTTTGAGGTTGAGTTGTCTGCAGACCTTCGAATAGAGACGGAGAGGAAAGGAGTGGAGATCCCTGTCCTCATCCCGGCTGCAGAGGACCGGCTTGGTGCTGTGATAGCAGCCATGAACAGTGTCTACCAGAACAGCAAAGCCAATGTGGTCTTCACTATTGTGACCCTGAATGATACCGTTGACCACCTGAAGTAGGACTCGCCTTGTTGTGTTAGCATTTGACCCTTGACCTTTGAGGAAGGAGATATAACTGTATTTTTATTTTTCCAACAGGGTGTGGCTGAGAAACACAAATTTGAAAAATACAAAATATAAAATAGTCATTTTCAATCCAGAGCTCCTCAATGGGAAACTGTCAAAGGATGCTCAGATAGCAGATGCTGCAAAACCCGTAAGACTACTGAATACAATTTGACCTTCTGTGATCATGCTCCTGTCAGGTCTTTTTCCTTTTGTAATTGGTGTTAATTTTTCATTTCTCAGCTCACTTTTGCCAGATTTTATCTGCCTCTGTATTTACCTGATGCTGAGAAAGCCATATATTTGGACGATGATGTCATTGTACAAGGTAAGAAATCATCTGGCATGATGGGAATGTTCACATCATAAAAGGCTTCACAAGAAAAGAAGCTCTCCTGAGAAGCACGCTGACCATTTAACTTGCCTTTTGTGTTGAATCCAAGGAGACATTCAAGAGCTTTATGAAACCAACATCAAACAAGGACATGCAGCTGCTTTTTCTGACGACTGCGACTCAGCATCTGCTAAGGGAATCGTTCGAGGGGCTGGGAACCAGGTGGGTACATCAGCTTTTATGGTGATGGGTTAGGATATAGGAAGAAAAGAAAATTCAAGACGAGTAAAAGTAAAGATAACAGAAATATTATCCTCTGTAGAACAACTACATTGGTTTCCTGGACTTCAAGAAGGAAGCTGTTAAGAAGCTGGGGATGAAGGCCAACACATGCACCTTCAACCCAGGAGTCTTCATCGCTAACCTGACTGAGTGGAGGAGTCAAAACGTGACTCAACAGCTAGAGCACTGGATGGAGCTAAACACTCAGTAAGTGTTGTGGACCTGCAATATGCATGAACGGAGGAACAGGATTGGCTGTGTTTTACTGCTAGTAAAGAAAAAAAAAAAAATTTCAAGGCCTCTTTCTGGTCTCGTAAAGCTGCTTTTTGCCTCTCCTCAGGGAGGATCTGTACAGCAAAGCACTTGCAGAAAGCATCGTTACTCCTCCGCTCCTCATTGTGTTTTACAAACGCCACTCCACCATCAGTCCATCGTGGCATGTGAGGCATCTGGGTAAGTTCCCGTTTGTTCATCTCAGAAAAACCACCAAGAATTTCAGCGTATTTTTTATTTATTTTTTTAAACCATTGACGCTGAGCAGTTACCTACTTAATGAGTTTGCGGTACTTTGTGTGTTTTTGAGACCCAACATTTCCTGCACATACCTTTCAGGCACTACGGGAGCTGGAAATCGCTACTCGCCCCAGTTTGTGAGCGCTGCCAAACTCCTCCATTGGAACGGACATTACAAGCCGTGGGGGAGAACATCCTCTTTTTCCGATGTGTGGGACAAGTGGTTCATTCCAGACCCCGCAGGGAAGTTTCATCCCGTGAGAAGACACACAGACTGAGTAATGAGGCCCGGTAAACTGCCACGTCCCACCCGGAGCACCGCATCCTTTCTCAAATCTCAGGGACTAATTTAGGCCTTCTTTTTCTTGACTTGTCATCCTCAGGATGTGTGGACCTTCTTCCTCTGTTACCTGGGAGACAGAGTTGTCACCCAAAGTGTTTCCCAAATATTTGGATAAATTGAAAGGCTGTTTCCCATTCCTTCCTGTCGTCTTTCTGTTCACGTTTTATAGGAGAGCATTTTGAGTCAGCTTGCGAGCTCTTACATATCAGTGTGCCAAGAAGTATGCTTTAAGCCTTCATTACCTTTTATGGAGTAGTTAAATGGTAAAAAAAAAAAAAGAAATGCTGAATGACTTGGTGACAGTGAAGGATTTTACACTTTACTGTCATTGCATTCGTTCAGGACATCCTATGGAAAAGTTCTCTTCAGAGCACATTTTAGTCCACCGGCCTGTGTGTCTCTCTACTCTGACCACTGAAAAGCATTCGAACATTTGTCATCTGTGCCAGTTTTAAAACACTAACTGCCTTTAACATTGAACTGTGGTATTTAAAATGACTGTATGCAGGAATTCTAACCAAATAGAACACATTGTAGTTTCCAGGTTTTGTGCCTTTTTATATATTTGAAATGCTGTTACCTCCTGTTGTAAATGTCTTTTGTACAATACAATATTAAAATTGTGTATATCTTGGGCTTTATGGTGTACCGATTTGTTTAAAATTCAGATATTTGCAACATCTGCTGAAAAATGGCAGATGAATGAGCAATGACTATGAATGAATGACTCCTTACACATTGAATTAACAGCAAGTCTAAGTTTTAAAACATTGTATTCATAGGTATTCATCTATATACAGTAGCCAACATTTAGATATTACACATGATCTCCAAGCTATGAAAAGTGGAAATCCTGGGAAAAAAAGGGCCAATGGATATGTATAAACACAAACACACAAACTGCTGTTTCAGGATCAAAGTTAAGTCCAAGGGCAGAGGTACATTCCCGTTATTGTGATGAAAGTGGCAGGGGGAGGGTTCTGGCATCGGTCAGAGGCATCCTGATGGTGACGGTCAGCACTGTGCAGATTAAATCCCGGTCAGAGGGTGCACTAAACTATACGAGCCTTGGCTTTAGCTCAGAAGGGAGGCAGAGCTCATTTGAAGTCTGTGTTGAAATCATAAGCATCGCCCGAACTCCCTGCAGACAGGCTGATGTCAATGGGGACTGACTGAAACTGGACCCTTTTGGGTTTTTCTGCAAAGAAAAAAAAATAAGATTCAGTCTCACATATGCACAATTTATGGGGGGAAAAAAAATATTACTAAGAATTACTTTCAAGTGATGTTTTCTGGGGCTTCTCTGACTCCTCTGCTTCAGTTGAGTCCTCAGCAGTTTGTTCCGGCTGAAATGAGAGCAGATGTTACAACTATGTCAAGTCCAGCACTCTGTGCTAAAAAAAAAACATGCATTCAGCTGGATCAGAGTTGGATTAGAAGTCTTCATGAATATATCAAGACATTGTTTTTTGTCCTCATTTCCAGATGACATCATCATGGGATTAGGGGGCTGTCCAGCGGGACTGCTACCTGGTCCTGCTGCTGTGTGCCCCCCCCCTCTGTGGCCGCTGCAGCGGGCTGCTCTTCACACACCGTCATCACGCCTTCTGTCGGGCCTTTGGAGGTGAAAGTTACACTGCTGGCCTGGTTTGGAAACTTTACACCTGCGAACGGGAATATTTTCAACACATGAGAGATTTCACAATCGGAAAATCCTTTCTGAAACCTCTGATCATCTCTGAAAATGCATCTGTGCTCACTGTCACCTTTCAGAGTTTCCTGGTTTCCACTTCGCAGTTTGCTTAGATCCCAGTCCTTCTGCATGTCAGCGAGCAGAGAGTCAGTCAGGTAGGGGGGGAGGTGGTGGCTCCCCGGCACCTTGCAGTGGTAGCTGAGCTTGGCTCTGAGGAGACACCAAAGTGGTGACGTGAGTTTGCTCTTTTAAAACATCCCTTGACACACTGCAGAGCTGCCATCAGCCAGGGTCAGTGTTTGGATCAGAGTTGGATTAGAAGTCTTCATAGTGAAATCCAGAACTGCGTTTTGTCCTCATTTCCACACTCAGGCCCTTAAGCTGTCAGACATATGGAGAACTTTAAGAGGAAAAAAAAAAAGCTACTTACCCTGTCCAGTCAGCCAGGAACACAGAAGCTGCCTGCTCCGTGTTGGGAAGTGCACCTTTCTGAAGGTAGCCTCGCTTTTTAGCCAACAGGGTCAAAAACTCCAGGGAATTTCTGAAGTCTGGAACATTATACTGAAGCATTATCTGAAACGATAAGAGTAATGCAAGCCACTTACTTAAATAACCCATCCCTTAAATCATGCACCACACGTCTGCTGTCCAGGCTGCTCCTCCCACCTGGGTCTTTTCGCACTGCTTCAGCAGGGTTGTGACGGCATCCAGCACGCTCTCGTGGCCCTCCTCCACCTGCAGGCTCCTCAGAACCACAGAGCTTCGGGGGTTGGATGGCGACACCACGACTCCTGGGCTGTCCATCAGCTTCACAGTCTTTGAGATGTGCACCTCCTGCATGGATCTGTTTGGTAATGACAACAAACAATTCATCAGGGTTTCTTGCTCCAAGAATGTGTGTGGGGTTTCTCTTCATAAACACCAGGGCGTACAGTCCCTTACTTTGTGATGCCTCTCTTGACACCAGCATTACACGCAAACATCCCCTTCATGCTGTTAATGAGGCTGCTCTTCCCTACGTTGGTAAAACCTGTGGATAAAATAAGACAGAAAACATCTAAGAGGACAGGGTGAAAGGATGCTTTTCATGGAGGGGGGGTGGGTTACAATTGAATATACTTTATTGATCTCCAGGGAGAAATTGACTTCCAGTATCAATTCCAAGATCAAACAAACAAACAAACAAAAAAAAATGAACAGAGCTTTACTGTTAGAAAAGAAGAGGTGAACTCACCAACCACGCCCACTTTGAGCGCAGCTTCACTCTGTAATTTAGCAGCATAACTGGTGAGCAGCTCAGAGAGGCAGTCGCTACCAAAGCAGGCTGCTCCTCTGGATTTATCCAGGACCTCATTGGAGGCCACTATTCTGCTCTTTTTGGCTTGCTGCTGAAGACGGAGCAAAGACAGATTTCTCAATACATCTTTTTTTTTCCCCTATTGAAATATGCATACATAAATAATAAAAAAAAAACTGGATTGTTTTTCCTTTTCGGTAATGACCCACAAACACACTTGCCAGCCCTGTGTGGCTCCAGAGTGACATTACTGTGTGGCTTGTTAGTTAGTCTTGGAGGTTAAAACCAGTTACAACAGCACAGTGCAAGCTGTTCAACCTTCTCAGGCCTCCGTATCCAACAGCGATGCATTAACTGAACCCTCGTGGTCCAAAAAACAAATGGCAAAAGCAGGACTGATTTGAAAAGACAATTTGCCAATATGGATGTTTAAGAACTCTGACGCTTAACATGCATAACTTACCACTGTTTTGTCCCGGATCTGTGTTGACGCTTTGAAAGCCACAACTGGAAACTCCTGCTGTAAACAATTAATCCACCGCTCCACGTTTTCCTTCGGTACCAAATCTACAACACAAGAGAGGAAAAACAAGTCATCCTGACAGTCCAGTCAAACTATACACACACGTTTCACATCCCGCTCAATCACCTATTTTGTTTAAGACCAAAAGTAGTTTCTTGTTGCCCCCCCTCTGCAACACAGCCTCCTCCAGCTGTGGACATCTGCATCCCAACGGATCTCGGGCATCAAGGACTTCTATTACAACATCAGAGGCATCGATGACCTGAAAAAGAAGAAAGTGTAAGTAAGCCATTCAACTCTCTGTCACATTAATATGGTATGGGTGTAGTCTTTACCTTATTCAATTCAGCACAGAGGAACTGTTTTGAGCTCTTGTTGACAGTTTGTTTGGCTAAACGATTTGCTTGGTCATCCTGTGCAAAAAAAACAACAGGAAAACAACAAAATACAACTTAACAGTTTTATAAAATATAATATAAAGCATTTGAAAGTTGTGCTGTGGTCAGTTACCCTGCGAGCCTTCTTGGCCTTGGGCTCAGTCTCCCTGTTTGCAGCTTCTTTGTCCTTCTGCCTCTTCTGGGCTCGCTCTTCTATTTTGACTTGTCGTTTTCGTTCCTTTTCTTCTTCAACCTATTAAGGGAAAGAAATGTTTCCAGTCAGCTCAGCACATGGCCAAGATATTACCAAACAGCATGTGAATTTGGTTAATATTAGGCATCTACAGGTTGAATAACCATTGCCTTCACAAAGATCTTAACTTGGTTTGTATTCAGATTTTTGAGCAACAAAGGCCAATCTGTGTTCACAGGTTCCAAAAGCTGCATTTATGACGGCTTGCCCACCTGTAGTCTCCTTTGCTCTGCCTCCCTGAGAACCTCCTCTTTGAAAGGAGCACTGCTGGGAACTCCGAGGTCCTTCTTCACTCGTTTGCTCACTCCTTTCTTCTTTGCCTCTTTTCTAAGCTTTCGATTATGCTCCCGGACCTGAAGTCAGACAATCATAATGTTACTACATTTTATGATGACAGTGCAAATAGCAAAAAAGGTGTAAGAATGATGGGTAAAAATGGCCTCTATTTGACACGAGACACGATGTCCATTAAAACCACACCACAAAAGCTGTTGATAGAAAAAAACCGGCACGAAAACGAAGATATTAAGACTAGAACCAAGTTAGGCCACATACCTTCCGTTGTATCTTATACCGTTTGGAACAGGACAGCCTTTTACTTGCTCGCTTTAACTCTGAGGGGGGAAAACAATTTAGACACTTAAACGCTAGTTGAAAAGTTAGCTAAGAGAGACGCTATACAAACGTAGCTCAATTAACTGGTAGTTTATTTATTAGTTAGACGTAACAACCATTCAGAAAGCCTACGTATGTGTATCTAACATATTCTTATATGTAAGCACGAGCACTTACTTGGTCGTTTCATTGTAGAGTGGTTAACTAGGCAATGCGACTAAGGAGCTGCTGCACGTGGAGCATGCTCAGGCGTAATGTCACGTTATTTCCGCTCCTGTCAGTGTGAAGGCGCCACCTGCTGACCGGGAGGTTTAACGCACGCCGTTTTTCACTGCACAGAAACGTCCACCGTAGTTTACAGCCACCTGCTGTTTTAAAAAAAATAGTACCATATAAATGTTTCAAATATAGATAGAAATGATTAGAACGTATATACTAAAAATAAAAATGTATATGTTATCAAACGTCGGTGTTAAAGCATAATGTTCCTTGAAAATCTTTGATGGCAAAAGTTAGTCAATTTTTGCACTTTCTTGTGATGGTGAAAGATCTCTTACTTATCCCGGTTTGATACCCAGGTTTAAAAAGGGCATCATTATTACTGATAAATAACTTAAATACAAACGCCTGCCACTGATAACCTCTTGCTGAAACAAGCCACATTTCACTGGTGAAACACATAGACTCTATGCACAAACATACAAAATACAACACATAAAACTGGTGAAAATATGTGTTCAGAATCCTTTGTGATGTAGTTTATTGTTAAATAGAGGTCACCCCTCATCTATTTAAGTCACTCCGATTATCTGCACATAAATTTCAGCTGTTCCTGTTTGAATCAAGCTTTAATATCATAAGCCAAATGGTAGAATTCAGTTGCAAAAGCATGAAAAAAGACAGATCCACTATACAACATTAGAGGTATATTGTTTAGCACTATGAGCAAAATTAACATCAGTAATGGAAAATATACCCATAGAACAATGGTTCTGCAAATAACAAAATGTCCCTCCCAAATTGCAGGTGAGAGGAAAAACAGAGCAGACAATGTTACAGAAGAGGCAAAGCCTTTTGACCACATGTGACAACAGTATTCTGTCTCATAATTTAACATAAGGACAACTTCCAAGTTTTGTAACAGATTACATGTCCTGAAAATCTGTAGCATATGTGTTTTAATGTGTGACAGGAATGAGGTGGAGCGATCACAGAGCAGCCTGGGGGTGGCAGCATCCAGCTTCACTGATATTTCTCCTTGGCACGGATGACAGTTTTGAAGGGAATTCCGGCGAGAAACCTGCAGAGGTCTGCATTGTCGAGGCTTTAGTAATCTGACTTTGTCAGTTGTGCATTGAAGAGTTGGAAATGTGACCAAGAGGACTGCCAAGGTAAAACAAACAAACTAAACTGAAAAATCATATGTATAAGTAAACACATTTTGATTTATGTGGGATTTTCCCTCCTGAACTCTTTCTTGCTGGTTCTTGTTAGTAAGAGCAAAAGTACTTTTGCATAAAAAGTTCTGTCATGATTGACTTAATTTTTTATTTTTTCCATTTGTAATCTATTAAGTGAAGTACTTAGGATTTGAAAGACATTAGACCTTTCTTGGTATTGTTGCTGAATCTGTGTTTGATACTAATGTGTTTATTACCAGTAGTGAAAACTCATGTGTTTGCCAAACAGCATCTGTCTTCATATTTGTTTTTACACCATATCTTTAAAACTTACAAATGGATGGGATCAATACCATAACAAAAAGATTCACGACAGGATGTTGAGGGGGATATATTAATGAACAACAGACCGTAACTATTAAGTTAGTTAACAGCTTGTAAATTAATTGTAAATACATTTACATCAGAATGAACCACATATTGATTTGTTTTTGGACAATATGTCTCAACAAACGTTTATAAAGGTTTGAAAGACAGTTTCCCAGTCTTAATGTTTCCAGAACCTCGGCTCCATCTTTGCATGTTAAGGATGGCCTGTTTCACTGGCATTAGCAGCTTCTTTAAGTTCATGGTGCAGGTCTCAGCAGCAGCTTTCAAATGTAAATGCAACACTGGGGATCAACTCTGGGCCTTTTTACTCCTTAATTGATGTTTAAATAATGAAGGAATAGCCCACACCTGTTCATAAAAACAGCTTTTCAGTCACTTGTCCAATTACACTTGAATGTCTGAAAGGGGTTCTACATATCAAAGCCCCATAATTCCTAAACCATCAAATTAAGGCAGAGAGTGTGCACCTTAAGGACATTATCACCATGCAACAGTGATCTGCATGAGATTTAATGCAGCAGCGACCGTCAAATATCGTTTTCTACAGCCTATCTGAATAGTGTCTTTGAAAGAAACAGAAAAAACCCCTAAGACACACAAAGCATCACTGCAAAAAGACCCAGAGGAACACCAACATTTGAAAAGAGACTTACATCGGTCAGTAACGTCAAGGGTTACATACAAAGACTAAAAATAGACCATGGACAGTCACAAATAGACACAAAATTACCTCTAATGAATGTAACCGACTACAAAGGGATGCAAAGCAGTGAAAAAGAGACAACTACAAAGAGATTCAATGATGTCCACCGAGAGACACAAAAAAATCATCAAAGTAATGACAAGGATTTACAATTTGGGATCAACTCTCATTTCTCCATTTAATCTCTTGTAATTTATTTTGCTTTCTGTTATGATCAGTTCATGATTTTCCTTTTAGCCTTACTTATTATTTATCATCTTTTTAAAAAATCTTTTTTCATGTTTGTCCCGATGTTTAAATGTTCAATACTGGACTAGTAGTCCTCAGTCTCTGTTATGGACCTCAGCTCCACATCACCCATTTTCAACCTGTCCCAGATCCAGATGTAGGAACTTAATCAAAAGTAGTTATGTTCTTTTTTTGGCTCTGGTATTGTGAGACCCTTACCGTTATTCTCAATGTTGACCACCTCTGAGTCTACGGGGCCCCACCACGAGCGGAGCGGAACCGCTTCACCTGAGCACTGGCAGCTCGCCCGCTGATTGGTCCGCTGCCAGTCCGGCCCTGGGGTGACGTCAGGGGGAGCGCTGCCGGTGGGTGGGGGGGGAAGGGGGGGGGTTCTGAGAGCGGAGTCGGTGAGAGCGCTTCGAGTGAGACGGGGCTTGCGGACACTGGAGCTTCTGGAGCGTACATTTTCAGGTAAGGAGGACCCAAGCCGTATTGTCAGGACTCGAACTTTAAATCGCGACAGAGGCTGCGCGGCGTGGCGTGCCACCCGGGTCCTGACAGCTTTCCCCCCCCCAAAACAAAATGTATCAGTCTGAGAGGTTCGCTTTCACTAAAAGCGTGAGACATTCTGCTCTTATTGCAGGGAGACGTGGTTAGAACTATTGTCGAAATCCCGGTGAATGGAAAACGGAACCTGTTTTTGCGGTTGGGAAGCTTATTGTAGATAACTGCAGTCTTCAGCGGCGTCATATAAGCTGACAGTATGTTCTCGTCCTCACAGAGAGGACCTCTATGGAACAGAGGCTGTACAGTAGTTTAGAGCACACACATTGGCATGCCATTTGTGTGGTTATTAAGTGATAGCCTTCTCCTTTGCGAGTAGCAAAGGTAGTAGTTTCAAATCTTTATATTTGCTCAGTGTGACTACATCCAACGGTGTGTCTTCAGTAGCCCGTCTGAGTTGTTGATCTTTAAAATAGACAAGACTCCATGGTACGCTCACCAAACTTAAACCTCTTCCCCATTTTGCCATTTCCTTCCTTTTTTCTATATCCTCATCCGTTTCTCTACTTAAAAAAAAAAACACACAAACCCACCGCTTAACTCTCTTTTGACTATTCGATCTCGGAAGAAGTCTGCTTATCAATTAATTAGCTCACATTGAGAGATTTGCTGTGCGTCATTAACATCAACTGACCAATCAGACTCCTCTCAGCCAGTGGGTGTTGGGTTAATTGATACGCAGTTATTGAGAAGTACCATGCAAAACCCTTAAAATCTGTTTTCTGAATCAGATGAGAAGAGATGGTAGGAGAGGTTGGTGAGTGGCAAAGTGCCCTCTCTGTGTATGTGCTACTGTGGTTGGCAGAAGAAGAAAGCCCTCGCCCACAGCCACAGAGGCTGTGAGTCTTCTGATTTTGAACTGTTTAACCCGATGATTCATTGTTATTGTCATTGTTGTATGAAATATATGAATGGAGTTTTGTTTTGTCAGCCTGAGCTCTTTCAAGCTTTTTTTGTGCTTTTCATTGTGCTCCATCTGCGTACATGTATTTGTCTTAAAAGTCCAACACAACTCTAGGTATCCACAGTGATAATGTATGAAACCCAGGGGGAAGCTCTTTGTGAAAATAAAAGATTAGATTATATTGGTCACCCCCTCTGCAGTTCTTTGTACATAACCTCAGTAGGGCAGTTAGCTTATCAAGTTGACTAAAGGTAGTTTTGATAAACTGTGAACACAATTAATGCTGGTACTGTCATAGTAAATAGGGACACGTCCGCATTGAAGCGTAAAAGAAAGTAATAAAAAAGCAATTTTTATTGTAGCTGTTCATATACATGCAATGAAAGTTAGACTCCAGTTTTGGTTGGGCAATTATTTTTTGCCAGTGTCATGTTAAAGTAGTAACTGAGAAAGATGGGTGCCTCAGAATGAGTGAGAAAAAACAAGGGGCAGGAAAAGACAAGTCTTATCAAATCATTTAGAAAGCTGTTTTGCTTCCTGTGAAGCCAGTGATCCTCAGCAGGAATGCAGTCCTTTGAGGTATGCTTTCTGTGTTCATCTGACAGACGTGCAGGAGCATTCCTCCTAGATTATACTGTTAAAACACAGAATCAGGAAACCAGTTTTTAATTGTGTTTGTGTAAATGTTCTTTAAAAGTTTTAACAAAGTTTTGGAGGTTAACCATTTTCTCCTCCAGCTTTATTTGTTTGTAGGCGTGATTCTGGGAGTGTGTCTGCTAAGTAAACAAGGAACGAAAGCTTTCAGCCCCACTGCCGTCAAACTTTGCGCTCAGAACTGCTAACCTGTCAGTTTGTCACGTTTAATTGTCGTTACGTGTATATGTGTGTTTCTTCTGTCCACTGCTCGTCACAGGAATGGGAAATCAGTGAGTACAGCGACTCTCTCTTTATAAATCTTAAACAGGGGTGAATGCTGCATGTAACCTACGACTCTGGGAATGGGGTTAGGATGTTGTACATCTCCCGGTCTCAGGCCGCCTCAGTCCTATCTGGGTTTGAGCATCTTCACCCACATGGCCAAAAGACTCGTCATTAGCAGACACCTCGGGGCTTCCTCAGCCCTCTGTGTGATCATACAATGCCTGCATGTGTCTTTCCTCTACAATCCCACATGTTTAAGCTTTGCCCTTTTCTGCTCCTGCCTGTGTGAAACATGAACCTTATTCTACTGTTTATAGCATTGGCCTGTTTGAAAAACGACCCCCCCCCCCTTGCCCGGCTTTGATTTTTCTCCTTTAAACTCCAGTGGCTTTAAATGTGATGTGAGAAATGTGGCTTAAGTGACCCATGGGGATGACATTCCTATCTTTCTACCATTGAGATGTGTGGACAGAGTTTTACATGCATGTTGATGTTTTCTTAACATTACCTGAATAAAGTGGAATGGCCAGCAGGGTTGATTAATTCATACATTGAATTATATATATATATATATAAGAATGTGTTCCAATATCACACATTCTTTGTGCATGACTTCTAATGAGTCTACATCTGCATACAAGCCAAGTGATATGCTATAAACAAGCAGAATGTAAGAGGTGCTTTCACTGTTTCTCCGGCTTCAGTTTGTGCGGTTGTTTTTGACAAATGACTGCTTCGTTGTTAGAGTGGCTGTGATGTTCCGCTCAAATATCAATGGTCCGATGGAAGTTAAACGAAAGGTGTAACCATCGCTTTTCTTTTATTAATCCACAATCATTTTATCACTTCACTTCACTTTGATAACAGAAATTCTGGAACATTATTTCAGATTGATGGTGTTATTTTGGCATTTTTTGTTGGCTACTTAACCATTTTAGGGTATTATGGGAAAGAATGGGAAAATGGGAAAGTTTACACACATCAGTGGTTGATCTTGTTGATCAATTTACATTCCTATAGAATTGTTCAAATCTCTATTACGTTTGTGCTGCTCCAGAGTGCATTGGGAAAGTGATTGTTGTTGTTATTTACTCCCTTTAGCATTAGCAGTGCAACATTGGATACAATGTTGTAAAAATTCTGTTTTATTTCTATGGTTTGACAGTGTCATTTCAAATTATTCAGAGAAAAAAGTACATTTCTATGCAATCATGATGTCATTCTAATGTAATGATAATCAACAATTACTCTGATATGCAAGGAAGATTATTTGTTTATACAAACAGACCGGAATCTATTGGATACACGTAACAAAAAACAACTTAATACAGTTTGTTTAGCCCCAGTAACATGTTCAACTTTTTGTAATAGAACAAAGCAAGTATTCATTTATTCCCTCACACACACACATATACATGCATGTAGAAGCATTTGCTCATGTACACACACACAAATGGATAATCATTTCCCAGTAATCCTACAAGTGACTATTATTAAGATTCATTTGTACTCAAGAAGGAAGTCACATGCCACTTTTTATTGTTGATAATGTTCTATAAATGGTATTAGATTCAAGAAGTAAAGGCTGTCAGACTCTCAGACAAATGTGATATTTACCAGCAAGAACTTCCTCTTACTGCTTCCTTTAAACACATTCATTTGCATGCTGTTCTGTCCAGTTTAGAGAAACCTTTAGGCCGGTTAACTTAACCACATGCAAAGCTTTGTGGTATGCATTTAAATGATACCTGTTATCTTTGTTCCTTGTAGACTTACATTGTTCCATAAATTTAAATTGGATATAGAACCCTGAACTTTTCGCTACATGCGACAATGCAGTGACAGAAACCTGTGTGTTGTGTTGCCTGGACCTGTACATGTTACCCGAAGAATTGACGCCAAATGAACCGTACTGCAGCCACATATTGTGCTAAGCTGCCACCTGCTATTAGACACTAAAGTAATTTTGACTCCCAGATACCATAGCAGCCTTTGGGTTTCCATAGCAACATATATGAAATCAACTTCTGGCACGAAAGGCTGCAAGTGGACCACACCTCACTCTGCTTGTGTATGTATGAGCGGAACACAGGATACATGAAGGCTAATCCTCTGCATTTAAACAAGCCCATTTTTGAGGGGGATTTGCAGCGTTAAAATAACATGCTGTTCAAAACAAGACTTGCACGAGGCAGAACAATATGTTACATCATCTCATATAGACAGACTGTGAAGTTGCCAAGCGGGCAGCAGGGACAGAGAAGGAGTAAGGCATGCTGATATGAACAGGGCTATTTTAGTCTTCGAGGTCTTGAGTCTTAGGCACCTTCTGGGTTTAGATGATGATAATTCTGACAGCAGAGTCCCTTGCGTTCACTGACGCCTGAGTTAAAAGGTAGGGAGAAGAAAACAGGAACCACAATGTCCAGGTTGTCTATGTCTCTTCTTCAATTCAACCCAAGCTTAAATTTAACAGAGTATTTCACAAAGATATGTGTATCAAAATCTGGGTCGAAAAGCCTGAAGAACACTACATTAGCTTGATAAGGCTCTGATTCCAACTGACCAAAAGTCACATTACTTCAGTGTTTATTTAAACGTCAGCAATGAAGTGGCTTGAAACTATTTTCAATCGGTCGATCATTGACCATGTAGATACTTTGTGTCACTATCATAAATACCTTTCCCGTTGATAATAAAGGTGCTTGAACTTGTTTGAACTGACATCAGTATTTCCAACGTGTCAGAAAGCAAACAAAAAGAAGGTGATTTACATTTACGGCTGACACTCAAACTTAAAATTGCAAACATTATTAATATGACATGCAGCTGCTTTGGGTTGCATGTGAACATGTAAACTTAGATGAGCAGCAGCTCAGTCAGCAGGTTTGTTTACTGAGAGAAAAAGCAGGCTTTTCAACATGCCTGATTTTACTTTATGCAGCTGTTGTGACACAATGTCGCATCTTTTAGTTGTAACACATTTAGTTGCTGCTTAGAAACACGCAGATTTGAATCCTTTTGATAACATTTTAATGTGCTAGTCTTTTAGTTACTTTATAGTGTGACCTTCAACCAGAGTGTTGCTCACCAGTGCGTGCCCACAGAGCCAACGAAAACCGCTGCAGCTCAGAGATTTTGACATTAGACATGTAGTAGTATGATAATACTATAGAAATTACCTTACATTTACATTTATGCATTTAGCAGACGCTTTTATCCAAAGTCACTAACAAAAAGAGGGTTTAACATTCAACTACAACGCCTTGATCTACCAATTCTGTTCAGAGAAGCCTGCCTTTGTTTACAATAGAATGTAGCTAATTGTTTATTGCATTTCCTAATTGACTTCAAATTCTGACCAGGATCACGTAAATAGAAGCAGCCAAGCGGGCACTGACATCAGTGAAAGTTAGAAATACATTAGCAATAATGCATTAAGTCAAAACAGTCATTAGCACTGTATTATGAATTAAGTCCCCCACTTTGTCCTGCTAATTAAACCACAGAATACTGATGAGCATTTCCCTTTTATCCCATTGTTCCTCACTAGTATTGTTTCTGACCGTCACAACAAGAAGATGCCACTGGGTGAGGATTGCCATGCCTGGAAAAAGAAGACATCAGATGTGAAGGAGAAGTATGACTTCAAAGAGATCCTGGGAACGTAAGTGCGTCATAGCCAGTGGCCCCATTCTCCATCTCTGGATTATGGGTGCTTCCGCCATTAGTAAACACTGCAGTAATCTGAATGAATGTTGTGTAGTTTTTACATGTTTGATGAGGCATTTATCGCACATCTGCTAATAGCTGTCTCGAATGGACAACAGAAATTTGTATTTGTTTCTTTGTCGGTGCGTTTCTTTTTACTACATTACTGCGCATATATTTGTTCAGGAAATAATTAGCTCCTTAAGGAGTATAGAGTGCAAGGCATACTCAAAAGTAAATGTTTCGAATAAGCAGCTCTTTAACTATTACCATTGTTCATGCTGTGCAAACCTCATAGAGTTATGCTTTATTGTATAAACATTTAACTTATAGCTGCTATAACGTTATGGCTTTGAACAAAACCCACCAATGGAGAAATAGCATGTGTTCTGTACATTTATCTTATTTCATGATTTTATTCTCTATTGTTGCTGTATAAAAAACTTTAAAAACTTTAAAAAAAAAAGTTAAATCAAGATATTTCTTTTCACAAATGTGCAACTTTAAAGGAGGGAAGAGGCATCATTTACCAAATTCATTGAGTTTTTAAAATTGTTTTTAAAATTTGATGAGGTCTGTGCAAGACAAATCCCACCCACCATTACTATCTTATATTTATTATGGTAATTTGGACGGATTTTTTCAGGTCAAGTATGCATTCTAGTTTCAGTTAAAAAATGCAAAATATGTGTTCATTCAAGATTTGGGAAATATATTAACTTGAAAATGCAGTCCGAAGCTTTTATATATAAATTATTCTGGCCTTATTACTACGAATATTTAGGTTTACTTTGTTATGAAACTGTTTATAAGGGGTTGCCTATGACTACAAAGCCTGAATACAGCTTTTTTTCACAGTCACCGTTCCAGACAGGAATGATTTCTTAACCTTACATATAAATCCCTGAATCAGTTAAATTGGCACTATCATTGATGAAATGAAGTTCCAAACTTGATGACATAGGTTGCACTTTAACACCCATATTTACAGTGAATGCCCACATTGTATTTTTATTATCCTTTCAAGCTGCAGTTCCGCAAAAGAGCTCAAACTGCAACTCAAGGACAAACTATTAGGAAATCGATACATCTGATTAGGTCTGATAAGGCAATGCCAATGGTCCATGACATACAGGATTCCAGTATAAACAAGGACGACAAATGTTCACTGCTATTTTCAAATGTCATCTTGGTTCTCTTTACAGTTTACAGCTTTACTACTAATATCTGTTTAATCCCAATACTGGGAAAGAGAATAGCAGCTTTTTTACTCTTTGTTTTTTTTCTTTCAGACTTTTTAAATGTTAGGTCTCATTATCTCTGTGCTGAAATGAAATAGCATTAATCTTATATAAGTACTTTTAATTGGAAATAGGTAACAGTGCCTCACCATAAAAACTGAATAAATGTTACATTATAGGTTCCATTTGAGAGAAGCAGTATATTGTGCATATCTCAGAAGTGGGATATGGTGCCCTAAGATCCGTTTGCAGTGCTTCATCACTGACTGTTCTACTTTTATTTGTGTCACAAAATCTCTTTTAAACCTCTTCTCTTCAGATGAAATTGGATGTGTTAGCCCATGGGATTTTGGGAACCTTAACACCTTCCTTTCTGATAAAGCTGTGGTTATATGACAACATGACAGTCTGCTATATTTCTGCTAGTGAGCTGGGAGGTCCTTTTTGGTAGTTACTTTGGACTCTTGTCTGTATTAGAATGTTTGGCTCCCACAGCAATACTGTGCTCTCAATCACAAAGTCAGAATCATTCCTGTCATCATTTTTTTCTGGAATGAACTTGACCCTCTTTTAAATGCTTCTGTCATCCATTTCACAGGAAAGCATTTGCCCACCATTGCCAAACTAGCTAAAGCAGTTTTTTAATGACATATTACCTTGGAACTTCATTGCAGATAAACGTTCCCTCTAATCCTCTGAGTACAAATAGTGTATTCCATGTAATGGATTTCTTGTGTATGAGTCAGCATGTTTATTCAAGGTGTTCCACTGGCTGCATCTTTTATATACAATCACATCCTTGTTAGTCCAGGATAATGTCACGTGAACAATAAGTAAATACAAGATGAAACTAAAATTTGTTAACAAATTTGATCAAACTTCCAAAATGAATGTAATCTCACAGTTGCACAGAAGTGAAAAAGTATGATCATAGTTGGGAATTTCAATATGTGTGATTAAAGTTATTTACACACATAGACATACAGTACTTATACTGTACAGCTTGATAGAAATCTTTGTAAACTGAAATAGTTTCTTTGACCATATTCCCAACTGATTTATTCACATTTTTAATAGGTTTATGGAGAAACAGTAAGAGATTTATAGACTTTTGCTAAATTACTGAGTACTTTATTTAACTTAATGGGACTTGTGTCACCTTATGTCTGATTAGGAGTGTTCCATCTTCAAATACGCCTCCTTAAATGCTATTTTTGTTGGAACTTTATGTCCATAAATTAAAGTTACCGGCTGAACCTGACTCGTGTCATCCCATCCTTTCAGCACTCTCATTGTAATGTCTCTGGTTTGCCACCTGCCCCTGGTTTGGTCCTGAGCTTGTTTAGGGAGAGATAACCAGCTCACTGCATCACTCAGCTGTGTGCCACATTCATTTGCCATTGCTGGATTGTTGTCTTGGTAACAACAGGAGACACTTTCCATAATGGACTCAAACAGTAGCTATGGAAACAAAGTTTTTGATTTGCTATTAATAATCCAACACACAGTACATATGTGTTCATTGTGCATTAGATGAAAACAGAAAAAAAGGACACACAGAGATATTTAATTTTTGAAGTGTCTATCGATGGAGCCTGCCTTTTCCACATTTTAAAGATGAAGGAAATTAACTATCAACAATATGTCTTTATGAAAACTCATTGCTTTACCTGTCCAGCACTTATAAAGTATACAAAAAGAAAATAAATGCATTCATGTATGAAAAATACAACATGACTGTAATAATAAGTTTTAAATTTTATTATTTATTCAGACATTCCTTGGTGAGTTTATTAGCTTTTCACGTACAAGGCGGCATGTGACCGCGATTTCTTTAAAAAATGTAAATAAATTTCAAACTAAACTAAACTTAAAAAACAAAATGGGCATAAAACAAAATAAAGTCAAAAATCGTTAAAAATGAAGAAGAGACATACTGATGTTGGGTATGAATACCAGTGAGATGTATTGGTTCGTACCGATAATCCTCAGCTTTTGCCACATGTTCTGTAATCAAAACAGATGGGGATTAACAATAAACAGAGACAAAAGCACTTTCACTGCAATCAGTTCTGATCCTCTTCGGCCTTCAAATAAAAAAAATTCTGTTACTTATTTTAATCACCCCCTCCCCCACCACTTTGGTCTGCCTCTCTTCCTGTTTGTGTCCACTGCGGCTCAAAACAGCATCCATGCTGTCAGCCCCATTTAGGTTACCAAATCCTGCCAACTGCTCTGTGTGATCTGGATTCACACTGGGTTCACTGTGGAACTGGGCTTCCAGTGTAACCTGTTGCCATTTGATTTGCAGCTGACATTAAAGTGCTCATTATACAGGGATAAGGAGACACAACTGTGCCTTGGACTACACAGCAGTTCCTGCACTCCTGCACAGAGTTAGACTCAGTAAGATCATTCCTGCAATGTATGTGTGATTGTAAAATATGTCTACTGGTACCGGTAAAATAGAAGTCCATTTTAATAGCAGCAAGTCAACCGTGACATCAAGGCATAAACCTTTCTATAGTATATTGAAATCCTGTGAGTCCCAGGAGAAAGGACTTGATGACAGTGTGTACGAAACCAAAAAATCTTTTTGATTGGAAAAAACCTCCGACACACTAAAGCTCAGGAAGCTTTCTTTTGCAAGTGTGGACAGCAAAAAAAAAAAAAAGAGGAAAAATACTGCATTATGGCATGGATTACATCAATTTAGCTAGTCCTATTGGGTTTCAGTAGTTTAATCCTGTCTATCTGATTGTGTTGTTGCTGTTTTTCCTCATATGTTTCAGAGCCTGGAAATAGCTCATTTATAAAGCGTTCCAAAACTCAGCCCCAGGCTTTTTGATTTCTGTACTGATGACAAACTGCAGAAGTGAACCGTGTTGACTTTTCTGACATTTAAATGGCTGCACATGTTCTCACGCCGTGAGCCGAAAGGGAAAATTCTTGGCCTTTTCAGCCCAGAATACATAGCAAAAACACAGAGGAGATGAAGCAACTAGGGACAGGACATGGGAGGAGGGTGAGAATAGCAGAGCATGCTGTAATCATCTAAAATCGTTAGGGCTGATGGACTGGGCAGCCTGTCTTTATAAAACGGTGGCCCACTGGCCCCCCATCCCTCGCCAGTTGTATTGATTTGGGAGGGGTAATGTTTGTATTGACGTGTTTAAAAGAGAGACAGAGCGCAAAACAAAATGCGTGTTTTGGCTACAATTGTTGGCCCTTTAGTCCTATGCTGTTGTGATTTTTTTACTTGCAGTATGTTTCTATTAGTGGTCTGTTTCTGACCGCTATGTGTTTCCCCACTTTTTGGCCTTAACTTCCGTAGTTCATTCACAGACATGGGAAGGGAGGGAGGAGCTAAGACTTCCCATTTATCACATATCTTTTCCTGTGTCATAATGAGGAGCCCTCCCACTCACACACATTTGTATTTATATCTTTAAACCATTTCTGCTCATCATGTGAGCTTGTGTTTATTTACAGACAGTTTACCAATTATTCAGTAAAACTATTGTAAACAGGTGAACTACTCTAAATTTTATTAGGTGACAATATGTGTAACCTGTTGATTGTAAATTTAGCTGATATTTCAGATTTTGCACTAAGAATGAACAAAGCTTGTTATTTGCTGTTTTGTGCTACAAAACGTGGAAGTCACAATTGGAACCTTTTGCTCCACTTCTTCCCTCACATTTGTGCCCCAGGG